TCCTTGCTAGTGATTTTAAGATCACTGCTGATAAAGCTGGCACCATCGCTCAGGCTCACTTGAACAGAGATCTCCCTAAAGCACAGAAAGGACAGAAGGTGACCACAGGTCCAGGTGAGCTCAGTTCTTGGTTTCTGCTCAAACCATAGCCCACAGCTCTCCCCATTGTGATGGCTTTGAACATCAGGTATTTGGGGCGACTAGAGGGCAGACGACCTGGGAAGGAGACCCCACCCCAAGTCCACGAGGTCCACCTTGGCATGAGGATGACCACTGAGGGACTCTGCACGGGGTCAGAAGCTTTGTGGTCACGAGCTCAGTGACCAGGGAGGCTGTGTGGTGTCACCATCCTGACGCTTGTTTATTTCCATTGTGCTGGTTCTGCTCTGAAGGGCTGCTGGGAGTAGAGGAGCCCCCCCTGGGTCCCTCATCTTCCACCTCCTGTGCCCTCAGCAGGGGTTGCAGCACAGCAGGGGAGCACCAAGATGGGCAGGTCAGAGGATGCCCGAATCCTAGTTTCCATTCAGCAGTGGCGTAGATGGGGAGATTCTCTGCATCAGGAAAAGATGGGGCCTGTTCCAGACATGCTATTTGTTATCTGTGGGTGACAGTCAGGACTTCATCCCCACCAGCCCCCAGTTTTTGCCTTTGTTCCCAAATGTCTGGCCCTCCTTCAGAGGATTGCTCTTAAGATACATTTGTCCAGGTGGAGCCCAAGTTTTTATCACCAGGCTGTTCCATGCAGACTGGAGGGTGCCAGCAATAGAAGAGCCCAGCTCTTCCACTTTGGGGAGGGCTCCCCAAGGGCTCAGCATGGGCACCTCCCGTCCCATGTTCTATTTTTCGCCTTGCTGGCCTCATGAGAACACTTCCTGGGGAAGTCACCAGACACATTCATGGATCCGGTTCTGTTCTGGCCAGTGGGTCTAAAACAACATCTGTGTGGAGTCGTCAGGGAGGAGCTTCTGGAACTCACGAGGATTTTGCAGAACCAGAACCAGGTGGTGTCACCATGTGCGTGCCAGTTACATCACAGGAGTGATGATTGCACAGTGAGGAGAGAAGGGGATCATGATGGAGAGTGAATTATACCCAGAAACAGGGCAAAAGTGCTGAGCTGGGAAGGTCGAGGGGAGAGCAGTTCAGGTCACCGTGGTGGTTTTGCTCTCAGACGCTGCCAGGCACACCAGAGTGATGGGGTGACCAGCAGGCGATTGGATTTGCTGACAGGGGCTCACCCTGGTTAGCAGGGCTTGTGTCTGGAATGGGGGAGAAAAGTGAATGGGGTAGAAATGGCTGAGAAAGGTGATTTTAAGGGATGGAGGGGTTGGCTCTGTTTCAATACTCTTGGAGTGATAGAGATGGAGAGTTTGAAGACACAGGAGGGAGGCACAGAATAGTGACATCAGGTCCATAACAAGGCGTGGGGAGTGGGAGCTAGTGCACAGGTGGCCACTTTGACATTAGGAGAGCAAGAACCCAGACCCGAAGTTGCTCTGTCATGGTATTGAAGAGAAAGGATTAGAACACGAGGGTATATCAGAAAAGAAAAGGCCTTCCTTCCATGAGCTCAGTGATTATTTTCACCTGTTTAGCAAGAAGCAATGTCATAGGCTGTGTGTGGGGTGAAGTAGAAGTTGGCGGAGGTCTGAAATAGTTATTGTGGTATAAAATTAACAGGAAGACTTATGTCCTTTTCAAGTAATGTTTTTTATATTCTTTTTTAAAGATTGATTTATTTATGCATAAAAGAGCTGGGGTACAGGTCAGAGGTGTGGGGTGTGAGAGGATTCACCAGAGACAGAGTGGGCAACAGAACAGGCAGGTGAATGAAATACACTGCTGAGGGGAGCAGCGGGCGAGTCAGGAGAGGTCTGCTGCGCCATGTGGCTTACTCCCTGGCTGGCAGGGAATCAAACTCATGCTGCAGTAACTGCGGATTGCTTCATAGGTTGCGTCTTAACCCTTGCGCCACCAGGGAGGCCCTGTTTTTTATATTCTTAAAGTAGATGCCTAAGAGTAGAATTACTGGATCACATGGCAGTTCTAGTTTCTGTTTTTTGAGGAAACTCCATATAGTTTTCTAGAGAGGCTGGACCAGTCTACATGCCCACCAACAGTCATGAGGGTTCCTGTCTCTCCACAACCTCGCCAATACTTGTGGTTGTTTCTTTGGGTTCTGTTTCTTGATGTGGGCCTGTATTGCTAGATGCTTTCCTCTTATTACTGCTTTTGTTGTGTCGCATATATTCTGGAAAGATGTGTCCTCATTGTCATTTTTCTCAAGGTATTTTTAAATTTTTTCTTTGATCTTCTCGCTAATCCAATGATCTTCCAGTAGTGTGGGGTTCGATCTCCATGAAGTGGGAGGGTTCCTTGCTTTCTTTTCATGATTTATTTCTAGTTTGATAACTTTATGTTCAGAGAAGATAGTTGGTATAATTTCGATCTTCATGTATCTTTTGATGTTTGTCTCGCGGCCAGTATGTGATCAATCCTGGAGAACGATCCGTGTGCACTTGAGAAAGATGTGAATTCAGATTTGTTTGGGTGTAGTGTCCTATAGATGTCTGTTAAGCCCATGATGTCTAGTTCTTTATTTAGGTCTATAGTGTCCTTGTTTATTTTTTGTCTTGTCAACATCTCTGTTGCTGAGTGGGGTGTTGAAGTCTCCTGCTACATATGTATTTTCCCTAATGTCTGTTTTCAGAGATGATAATAATTGTCTAATATATTTGCGTGATCCTTCATTCGTTAATGAGTCATATGTTAATGAGTCATATCTTCCTGGTGTATTGTCCCCTTGATCATAATGTAGTGACCACCTATGTCTCTTTTTACCTTTTTCAGTTTGAAGTCTATTTTATCTGATATAAGTATGGCTGTTCCTGCCTACTGTTTGGGTCCATTTGCTTGTAGAATTTTTTTCCAATGTTTTACTTTCAATCTATGTTTATCTTTTGCAGTTGAATGTATTTCTTGGAGACAGCAAGTATTCTGATTTTTATAATCCACCCTGCTACTCTGTGTCTTTTTATTGATGAGTTTAGTCCATTTTCATTTAGCATTATTTTTGAAGATTAGAGTTGTACTTGCCATTTGATTTATCATTTTGTGGTTCTAACCCTTACCTTATTCTGTTCTTCCAATTCATTCCTCTGTTGGTTTTGGCTTTAGGGCTTCTTGTAATATTTTTTGGAGTGGGGGTTTAGTGGTCATGAATATCTAAAGATTTTGTTTTGTTTGTTTGAGGAGGGTGGGCACTGGCAAGGGGAGGGGAGGAGCTGGTCTTCCAGCACAGAGCTGGGCGCCCCATCTGTGGGTCTGCTGCTCATGACAAGAACTTTGGCGGGAGGCTGTGAGTTGGAAAAACATGTGCTGGGTTCCTCCACTCTGATGCCCCTCAACTCTCTGAGTACTCTCTCATGTTTCCAGGTTTTAAAGGAACATCACCAGGAAAAAATAGCTTCCTTGAGTTACAGTGTGACAACAGAAGGTGAAACATGATGGGTGTGCTGTCAACTATATGGTGAAACAGAAATCTCAGATATATTTGTTAATGACTGATAATACTGATGTTTTAAGATGGAATTTTAATTTGAGCCAGAGAGCAAATGTAAGTTCTCAGCTCCATCTCCTGGAACAATCGACAATTTTGTGATACAATCCAAACCAAACTTTGGACAAGCCCTCACCTTGCATGAAGGGTGTCAGGAGGCAAGTATGGAGTCACTGCTGGTTCTCGCTATGCACCTTCCTTTGCTCATGGGGGGAGTCTCTGAATGGAGTCAAACTGAAAGTGCTGCGCTCTCCCTTCCCCACATAATTCCAGCACCTTCTATGTGGCCTCCATTTTAAGTTGGCTATTTCTCTGAAGTCCCTTGTGCCTGGCATTTTAAATAGCTGGGGAGATGTGCTGGCAGCAAGGGAATAGCCCAGGAGGGGCAGATGCTTTCTCTCCCTCTCCTGTGCTGGCTGTGGGTGAGGCCACTAGTAAACTGTCCAAGGGGTAAGGAAGGGGCCCACAAGGAGAGGCAACTCCAGGTATAAATGCTTTCAAGGTTAGAAGACATGTGACTTAGGGTATCCCTTAGCTCTGTCCCCTCAATGTATATTCCCACATACATTTCCACAAATCATGTCAGCAAATTATTTTTTTCAAACATGGAGAAAATTACTCGTCATTCACCATCCATTTCAATTAATACAGATTAAAAACACAAACCTGACATATTTCTACCTTTAGCTGAGAGAAATTCAACTGAAACATATATATATATATGTATATATATATATATATGTATATATATATATAATATTTAAGGATATTGGGTGAGGGCAGACAGTAGTTCAGATCACTATCAGTGTGCGTCAGGGACAGCTGGCTGTGGTTCACCTGGGGGACCCTCCCTCCAGTGCTCATGGGTTCCTTGGGTTTTGTGGCTTGCGCATGGGGCTGTCCCCAGACAGTGCTGGGCAGAGCGCCAGGACACTGCTAAAACACTGTTGGGATACATGGTGGCAAATAGGGGAGATTCACCTTCTCTTAGGAAGTGGAGAGAATCCTCTAAAATCCTTCTGGGCTTAGGGGCAGTTTGGGGTATTTGGAAAGACCAGTTGCACTTTTGTTGGTGAACTTGAGAGGCTCTTGTCTCTTTCTGTGACGTATCCAGAAAGTGGTAATCAGAAAATGAAAAGAAAAAAGGGAGTGAGGGAGGTGAGACAGTCAGGTACTTTTCTCTGCATTAAACACAAGGAGACAGGGTTGTATTATCTGTCCCCGATGTGGTCTAGCCCTTGGTGACCAATGAAGACAGGGCTGTGGGGAGGGGACTCATCCATGTGCACAGCCACGGGACACTGGGTGCTCTGTGCAGGCAGGGGCAGTGTGGCCACGTCCAGGACAGCGGAGCAGGGCTCGCCCGGGAACCCCTTCTCCTGCTGATGGAAACACATCCAACTGCTTTGACTGTAAACCAAGGCTCCATACACGTGTCCGATTCAGCACATAAAGGGCTCTTTTTAATTTTGGGTTTTGGTGTTTTAGAGGCTGGGCTATGGGGGTGGGAGGGACAAAGGGACTCCACCGAATGTTCCCACAGGGCAGGGATCATTGGAGCATCTAGGAGGGCAACGGGAACAGACGAGTGGTGGGGGCTGGGTTGAGGTGCGTTGGCACTGACAGCAGCAGCTGTTGAGGAGGTTGGGTTGTGCGCAAGAGTGGGTAGCCGGGCATCTTCTCACATCAGGACTGAGTGGGCTGAAGATCAGGCACTACCGCTGTGGGGAGAGAAGAGAGAGGTCAGTGAGAAGCCACTGGAATTGGGAACAGAAACTTGTGGTTTCCTTGGCTCAAGGGGGTAAGAAAACAGGTTGGACCTTTGAGAACCCCCTTTTTTCCCCTGGGTGCTCCTCCTTCCTGGACTCCCCCTTGGAGACTCTGTTCAGGGCTTGGTGTTTAGTCCACTGTTTCCAGCCACCCAGGGCTCGGACACTGAACTCCTTTTGCTCGGATGTTGACTGTATCTGCTTCCCCTGCCTGGGAGCCTGGAGAACAAGGACAAGTTCTGACTAAATGAAGGTGCCAGAGTTCCCCAGGCTTCCAGGTGTGTGCTGAGGGGTGTGTCTCCATCACAGCCAGGAGGGGCTCCGCATGGGGGGCAGCAGCTGACCCATGGCCCTGGTGCTGGGTGGGGATGGAGGCACGAAGCCTCCCCAACTGACTCTGGGCTTTTTATTTAAATTTAGAAGTGCTGGGTAATGTTCTAGATTTGTCTCCTGCCATCCTTGAGTTGAAAATGAAGGAAAATACCTGGTCCCCTGTCTAGAATCAGCTGGGAGGCTCCTGGGCACCAATTTGACATTCTTTGTGACAGATGTCTGGACCCCATAGTTCCAGAGGGTAGTTGTCAAGGGAAAAAAACAAAAGTTCTTGTCCTTGGGGAGCATCCCCGTGCCCTGCTTACCTTGCACCTGGGCTGATACCACATCTCTGGGTGGTGGTTCCAGATACGAAAAAAGTTGCACAAATTATCCATTTTTCTCTGAAAAGCAGAAGGGCCTGTGAGGAAGCTCTGAGCTGGCTGCTGCCTCCAGTGGACAGTGTAACCTCTGGTTCCCAAAGTCACCTGAGCTCTGTCCCCTCAAGCTCCCTGGGACAGCACTGTGGCCTCTACTTGGAGCAAGAGGCCTGGAAGCCTTTGTGTTTTGGGGAGTGAGAGCGTGAGTCAGGGATTCTTCAGTCATCTGGAACAAATTAGTATTTTCTGAGGACAAGGCAGGAGCTACTAGCAGAGTTAAAGTACAAGGCTGGAGGAGATAAACGGTGTCTTGGAGAGGAACATGAGGTGCCTGTGGGGTACCGGGGAAGGAACTAGAAGGAAGGGAGGAGGAGGCCTGACTCATGAGGCCGACCAGGGAAGGCAGGGAAGAGGCTCCATGCCCTGAGAGTGTGCAGGGTCCTGCTGACAGAGAGTGGAGAGAAGAGGAGGCTCAGGACAGACAGAGTGACCTGGATCCCTGGCGGGGGAACCTAAGGGAGCTCTGGACCCTGCGCTCCAGCTCCATCCTGGTGTTCTCAGAGGGGGAGCCATATCCTGTGAACAGGAAGGATCCCTTGGTCAGGGCTTCCTCCTCTCTGGAAGGTGTGTTGGGCACCGCTGTGTCGCACAGAGAGGAAGGCAGGGCTGGCTCTCCTGGTGCCATAGAAGCTCCTGGAGGAAGCCATGGCTCCAAGCAGGATGGAGCAGGACCAGGAGGAGGGGCAAAGCCAGGCAGAAATTGTGGGCTCTTTCTTCCTCCACCCCAGCCATTTGGACTCTATTCTGTGCTGGGCCCCAGTGTGGGATGTGTCTCAGCAGGGCGGGCCCAGCTCTTCCTGGGGAAGAACATTCCCTTCAGGTCCTTCCTCCATGGGACCCTCGTCACCCCGGCTGAGGACAGGAGGACAAGGCAGGAGCTCCTTCCCTCCCTCTGCTGAGCCGGCTTCTGGGGCAGCAGGTGCACCAGCATTTCCACTTATGGGGGAAAGAACTTGACTAAGAAATTTCTTCCTCTTTTATTTTCTGACCTTCATGAACCTTGTGATTTTGTTTCAACTCACACCTCTGTCCGGGGAACCCAATACATTGTTGGGGCTGATGAGAACCTCTGTGTAGTCACCAGTTCCATAAACATGAGTTCAGTGAGGGGAGAGCCTGGTACTGGAGCCAAGTGAGCAAAGCTCAGTTCCCTGAACACGCATCTCCATCCAAGCCACGCCTTCTGGGACACACAACTCCCTCCCCAAGGGCCCATCTCACCTCTAGGTGTCTCATGTTGCTATATCCACCAGCAGGGACCACCATTGTGGGGCATGTTGGTTCACACGGGTCCTAGGAAGAGAAAGCTCTTGTCTGGCCGTTCAGAGGTGCAGACACAGGAGGTGTTGCCCCAGGACCTGTCGATTTCTGGCCCCTCAGCTAAGGCTTGTTGGGAGGATTCAAGGACACCTGAGTAAGAGCACCGTGTACTGTAAGGGAGCACCTCCGTGGGAAGCACAAGCAACCTCTACATAGTTTGCAAGATTGATCCTTCCCCAAAAGGGCAGTAAATTCTCTCCTGCCCCCTGTGTAACTTGGGACTGCCCTTTGGAAAAGCCTGGTCTTGGGGCAGTGCAATGTAATGGTGGACATCGGAGAGGAGCATCAGCAGAGGCGGACTGGCCTGGTGTTGGCAGATGCAAACTCCCTGACCACACTGCAGCAGCACTGAGACCAGCCTCTGAGTGGGGCCTGTTTCCTAGGTCTCCCCATTATAGGTCACAGTGGCCCTGCTGTGCAAATTCTATGGGTCCTGTTTTGGCCTCCACACCCGGGTGAGCCACAGGGAGCCAGCTGACTCTTGGGTCCTGGTGTGCCGGGACTGGCCTCCCTCACATCTCATCCCAGGACAGGCTCTCTTCACCCTCCTCAGCCCTGAAGTCTCCAAAGGACAAACCCAGTCAGTCCACAACCTGCCAGGAGACAGGGCAAACCCAAGGAAATGAAACCGAACAGGATCAGAGTGCGGGAGGGTGACCAGGACTGGAACCCTGATGTTCCTTTTCCAAATGCTCACTTAAGCCAGGGAAGGACCAGCCAATGAGCGATCTTTGGGAACTGACAAAAACAAAAACAAGGCCTGTTCACGTCACTGTGGGTCATGGCTCTTGCTGAAACAGGCCACTGCTGTTTGGTAATGTGATGAAGGTTCTGGATCACACTGCTGGGAGCACAGAGAAGGTGTTTTCTGCATGTCATTTTGTGAGTCCTAGGTGCTCCCAGGCGTACCCCCCCCCCCGCCCCTCTGTCACCCTGCTTTCTGCCAGCTCTCTCTGTCCAGGTAGATGGAGATGGTGGCGTGGGGAGTGGAAATATCCCACAGCTCAGGAGGCCTCTTTGTGAAGGTCTGTGTGGGCATCAGGAATAAAAATAAAACTCACCACTGGCTCCTTGTTCTAGAAAGTGAAAGAGACAAAGACAGGGTGAAAGGTTTTTGCAGGGCTCTGTCTGTTTACACAGGCAGGAGGGGACTTTGCTCAGCAGAAGTGAGTGAGAACATGGCTTTGGGTGTCACTGTGGGCGCCCACCCCAGTGGGTCAGTGGCCAGCAGGCTGCATGTCCCTGAGACCTGACTCCTCAGTTATCTGAGGGGACGTGGTATCTTCCAGGCACCACTTGCTCCTGGCTGCTGCTGTGTTTTCCCCTCTGCTCCTCCCTCCCTCTCCATCCAGCAGTGTCCTTGATGCTGCCACCATGCCCTGCTGCCCACCACCCTCCCGGGCCTGGCTGTCCTCTGTATTGCTCTACTTTGTCAGGGCATGTGGTCCCTAGAAGGTGGCGTTCTGTGGTCCACCTCATGCCCGCCCTGTTACCAACACCTGCCCAGACCCCAGACTGCAGCTACTGTGGACAGGCTGGCAGCTGCTTCCTTTCTGTCCCTGTAGGCCCAGTATGGGCAGCAGCCCCTGGCACTCAGAAAAAATTTGGAGGGAGGTGGAAGCAGCACTGGGGATGTGCAGACACCACACTGGTTTCTAAAGCTCAGCTGCACAGAGGTTGCGAATCCTGCTCGTTCTGTGCCCCCTGTATGGTCCCTGCTTCTTCCCTCAACAGCAGCTTTCTCCTCCCAACCTCTTGTCCACCTGAGTGCTCAGAGTCTAGAGGCAGCCCTGACTGGAATTCTGGGCCCTTCTCCCCGGGGACCACAGTGAAGGACCACAGTCTGTGCAAACACAAGGCAGGAGGCCTCTGCCAGGTTGTCTGTCCGGGAATGGAGGGCAGATTCTATGTCTCTCTTTGCTCCTGTGGAGACTGTGCACTGAGGGGAGCAGCAGAGACTCAGGACAGCACGTGACGGGTCTCTAGAGGAGTTGTCTGGGCTCAGGGAGGGGTGCAGGCAGAGGTACTCACCTTTCTAAAACAAAATATCCACAGCAACACGATCACCACTGGTACTGAAATTATTCCTAGGACCATTGCCAGTTGATAAGCGTTGATATCAGGAAACGGCATGTTTCTTTTTTTGGGAACTGCTGGCACATGTGTCACATCTGGATTGTCCGTTGGCTGCACAGTCTGCAGAGAGCACACAGACCAGGAGTGTAGCCTGGGGCCTCCAGACCCCCACTAGTGAGGATATACTCTAGGCTCCCCATCAGCCCACTCCATTCTCTGCAGATTGCCACCTGGGCAGAACATAAGTACTGGGCCCGACTATGCCCAGAGAGACTGTGGAGGTGGGGCACACCTGCCTCACTAGCCATGCTCAGAGGCTCAGCTCAGGGCCCTGTCAAGGAAACCAGAATACTTGAGGAGTGGCCAGCCCAGCCCCCACCCCAAGCCCTGGCTGAAAGTGCAGGGACACAGAGTTGGACAGATACACAGATGGGTGTCTGCAGGGATGGGCCCCCTGAGAGGTGGGGATGCAAGAACAGAGCAGGAGACCCAGCCTCATTGCACACAATGGCCTCCAACTCTGTAGGCTCTGTAGCTGTGGGCTGAGCTCCTCAATCTCTCTCACCTCCGTGCCTACATGTGAGCAGATGAGAGGGTCGTGAGTTGTGGAGCGTGATCAAAGTACTGGCACATGCCCAGTCCGTGTGGGGCTGAAGGAGGGGCTGTCTTCGTCATCATTTGAACCAAGGGTAAATGGTTCTCAGGTGGGACCCCTGAGTGCAGTCTATGCTCAGAGCAGCAGGCGAGGGGGCAGGAGAGAGGGCTGGTGCCCAGGGACCAGGGTGACAGAGATAAAGGCAAGCTCAGGACTGCTGAATGGTCGTGCTGTGCCCAGCCTGGAGGCTCTCCTGAGAGCTTGTCTAATGTGCCCATGATAGATGAGCTGTGCCTTGGTGGGACTCCTGATGGGCTGATATGAGTCCTCTGGCTGGTCTGAGCTGATGTGCAGACACAGAGCAGATGGACACAGGAGATGTGGCACCGTGTGGGCCCTCACATGCATGAGCAAGACTTAGGACTGTGGCAATGGGGCATCGTGTTCCTGCTGCCAAGTACCACTTCTCCAGCTTAATGTTCTCCATTGCCCACATCTTGCTGCCCTGTATTAGGTTGCCCGGATGATGTGGAGCCTGGTAAGGGGCCTGTAACCTTCCTTCCCAGGTGCCCCATGCTGAGCTAGTCCTGGTTGAGAGAAGCTGCCCAGTCCTGTTGGCATGTGCCACTTGCTGGGCCTGTCCTGGGCATTGGTCCTCTCTCTTGCCTCCCTAGCATGACTCTTTCCCGATGGCAGGCTTCTGGGCAGCCCAAAGGGAGACCATGTACCTACCCTGTGATCCTCACAGTCCTTGCTGCTGATCCTGAGCCCGTTGCTGATGAAGCTGGCACCGTTGTTCAGGCTCACTTCAACAGAGATCTCGCTAAACACAGAAAGGACAGATAGTGACCACAGGTCTAGGTTGGCACAGCTCTGGTTTCTGCTCAAACCATAGCCCACAGCTCTCCCTACTGTGATGGCTTTGAACATCAGTCATTTGGGGCTACTGGAGGGCAGATGGCCTAGGGAGGAGAGCTTACCACAAGTCCCATGAGGTCTACCCGGTGATGAGGATGACCAGTGAGGGATTCTGCATGGGGTCAGATGTTTTGTGGTCACGAGCTCAGTGACCAGGAAGGCTGTGTGGTGTCACCATCCTGACTCTTGTGTATTTGCATTGTGCTGGCTCTGCTCTGAAGGCTGCTGGGAGTAGAGGAGCCCTCCTGGGTCCCTCATCTTCCACTTCTGTCCTCAGCAGGGGCTGCAGCTCAGCAGACCCCAGAGCTCATCAGGGGAGCCCCAAGACGGGCAGGTCAGGACGATGCCCTGAAGCCTCCCAGAACACATCACATGTTGCCCAGTAGAGGTGGCCCCACATTCTGCATCTCCTGGGGCAAAAATGCCTGCCTGTCCCAGAGTGGTACTTACCTGGCTGCTTCCTCTATCTTCACTCCCGAACACTTTATGCTGGTGTCGTCTACATCGGTGGCTTTTTTATCTAGAGCAAATGAGATAGGAAGAAAGTCAGTGGACGTGCCCATCCACCCCCGCTCCCGTCTGCCTACCCTTGGCTGGTGCGGCTCTGCGGGGGCATGTCCAACGTCTCCACTCTGCCCTCTCAGCACCAGCCGCCAGCGATCACCTGCATTGAGTGGGATCCAGCTCTCCAGGGCTTATATTTGTGGGTTGGAGGGAAAGGCAGACAATAAAGCACAAAGAAAACAAATACTAGAGAATGAAAATGTGACATTAATGAACAGGGCTGGACACAGAATGGATGAGGCAGGCACTGGGAACAAACTGAGATTTAGGAAAACTGAAATATTTATACATAAAATTTCATCACACTGGTGTTTGCTTCAAAATAATTCATTGTCCTATTTTGATAGTTACTGAAATTAAGTGATGCTGTTTCAAGTCCTTTTTTCAATATTTCTATTTTCCTATATATTGAGCATTTCTATTAGAAAGAAGTTCTCTCTGAGTGGCCTATCCTGGGGGTGACTGTGATGAGGGGAGAGTCAGGGCAAGATCCCAGGGCAGAGTTCTGCCCTGTGGGAACAGCATGTGTGAAGCCCTGAGGCAGCACTACCTGACCTTGTCCCAGAAGGAAGAAGAAGGTGGGCAGGAACTCTTGGTCCTGGAAGAGTCTGGGTTTTATTCTAAGGACAAGGAGTCTGTTGAGGGGTGAGCCATCTCAGCATATGTTTTAGACATTGAAGAAATAGGACCGACCCTGGACTGAATATGGAGATAAAAGCAAAGAGGGATGACATGCAGGTTTTGACCAGATTAATTGGGTGATGGTGGCTCCATTTATTGGAATAGGGGATTTCTGAGGAGGGTATAGTGATTTTCTTTATTTCCTTTTGTTTTCTGTTACATTGTGCAAGCATGGCAGTCACGAGGCTGTAAGTGTTCCTTGTAGTTGTGGGGCCTGCTCACTTCTGAGTCCCTGGTCTTTTACAGCCCTGAATGCTGGCTGAGTGAAGGAGGCCCAGCTGCCTTTGCCCGCTGATTTACCACTCCACGCACCCTGGCCAAGCTCTGCAGGGTTTCCATTCTTCTCCTCTGGGATTCAGAATTGAGGGCCACATGGGTTTGATCACAATGATACCAAAGCACAATCCTTTCCCTGACCTTCTGCTTTACTCATGCTTCTCAAGACCCTAGTTGGAACCACAGCTCTGCAGGCCAGCTGTGCCTCTCAGTAGGATCAAGGCAAGTCATCTCCCAGACCTGCTCCCAGAGGCTGTGAACAGCAGGAGAGGGGGAGGGGCCACACTCAGGGGCAGGCCTGGCCTCCAGGCACAGCTCAGGAAACTTCTTTCTAAGAGTGGAGTGCATTTAAGTGTTTTCCTAACACAAAAATAATAGACTTGTTCTGAATTTTGGTATATTCTTTCATTTTGATAAGACAGGAGGCCAGGTGTCACAGACAGATGCTGCAAAAATAAACAGATCATAATCAAACAAAAAATTCTCCACAGATAGCCCTAATGTCTTCATGTTTTTAAAGCATCTGTTTAACATTAGGAACATCTTTTAGAAACTTGTCTCATAAAGAAATATAGGTGGGACAACCAACAATTTCTTCATTTCCACTTGTTTCTTTTTCTATCAATGCATCAAAGAAAATGAGGCTTTACTGAGCGGCGTTTAAGAGTGTTAAAGGTACTTATCATTAGGCGTGGGATGGCGTCATGTTTTTAGTCTTTTTATTTCCCTGCTTTGTACTGTGTGTCATTGTCATTATAACCTCCAAACTACTAATGTTTTTCTCTCCTCTGTCATAGGTGAGGGCTGTTCTGACCTATGGTACATTCCCACATGAGTAAGCTTCTTGGCAGTTACTAAATTGTGCTTGTGCTGTGAAATTCTGCTCTCTGTTATTCCTTTCCTGGTACTGAGAGTGAAACTAGCCATCATGTGTGCTAGAGGGCAGGGTTTGCCTTTTATCCAAGGGTAGGCAGGGAATAGTCAGGATAAAGAGGAAATAAGGTGCTTTCCTGACTGGTCTCATCAGGTGTCCACAGTCCAGAGCCAGGAGGAGGAGGTGACGGCCCGCACCTGCATACTGAGGGCCCATCGAAGCATGGAGGACTACAGAGGAGTTTTCAACCAATACTAACTGACCAAACTGAATATTTCAGTTGCCACATTAAAAAAACTACAATGTAGGGGCTCCCCTGATGGCGCAGTGGTTGAGCGCTGGGCTGCGAAGCTGCCCACAGCCTCTGCACGACCAGTTCAATCCCCGGCCACCGTTGAGGGTCCCACATGGCGCGCAGACCTCTCCTGCCACCCGCTGCTCCCCTCAGCAGTGTACTTCGGTCCTTCTGCCTGCTCTGCTCCCCGCTCTGGCTCTGCTGAATTCTCTCACCCTTCCGCACTTCTGACTCTACCCAGTGCTTGCATAAATAAATAAATAAATAAATCTTTAAAAAAAAAAAAAAAAAAACTACTATATAAACTATCAAATACTAGACAATGAAGGCAGCTAAGAACAAACAATGAAGCATTGATTTTAAATTTAGTTATTTGTATTTTCTAAAAATTTTCCTGCATGTTTTCCTAGAGGAAAATGTTACCGAAACAACCAATCAGTCCTCATCGGTGCATAAGAAGCCACCCAGCAAACATTCCAGCCCACCTGTTCTGGGCATCTCTGGCAGGAGCAGATGGCATTCTGCAGAGGTGCCCAGGACTGTGGGGTGGGCTCTCCCCTGGGAGGCCCTGGAACTGGTGCAGCTTGGGGACACAGGCTGGCCGTCCCCTCGTAGGAAAGATGTGCATCCACAGACAGTATCATATCACTGCGGGACGGACAGGGCTCACCTGCCCAGCCTACGTGCATCTGGGCAAGGCACAAAGCCCAACAGGGACAGTCAGACAGCCTGGGTTATTGTCCGTCTTTTCCTTTATCAGTTTGTGATGTTGGGCATCTATGTGTCATAGAGCTTAGAAAGTGCAGCTCATATATTCTTTCCATTTTATATTAGATAAAACAGAGCAAGAAGGGAAATTTCACAGGGTCAAGGTCACACAGGTAACATGTGCCTGTGCCAGATCCCAGGAGCTGGACCTCGCGCTTGGCCTTGTTTCTCAATCGAAAGTGAACCTACCCTCCTGGGAAAGCTACCAGTGCACCTGGCATGAACTCAGAGCCCAGGTCTGCTTCCAGTTCCACCTGGTCGACTCGTGAGATTGGGGTCCTTGTCTTTCAGGGAAAGTGAGAGATGAAGACAGTGCAGAGGGAGGCAACTCTGAGGGAAGACCCTCCTCACAGGGTGCAGCCCTTGCCCAGACCCTTTTGTGGCTCCGGCAATTGATGGCAATCGACTCTCATTGCTGCCTTTATCTTCACAGCATCCTCAGCGAATGGGCATCAAGGGTTCTGGTGCATGGTGGCTGTAGGGAGACACGTCTGTGGTAAATTTGTCACTTGTACAAATCAGGGAGGTACTTACCAAAAAATATGGTGTCACTTATTTGAAATCTGCAAAGAACTTCTTTTTTGTTTCTGGCGTTACGGAAACCTCTTCCAAGGATGCTTACATCATAGTTTTCTGCAAGGGCAACATCCAAAGATGTGTGTAAGGAGGGGCTGAGCTCTGTTGTCTGCTGATCTCATCACTATGGCAGTCTACTCCCTAATGGAGCCCCCAAGGGACTCCTGGAGGAGGCAGCTGCTCTGAACCAACATCTAGGTTTCTCCTGATGCTGACCTGGTGTTTCTGAGGGGCCACTCTGAGGAGGCTGGGCGGAGCTCTCGGGCACTCTCATCACAGCTGCTAACTGGCACACATTGCCATACAAGGCTCCCACCTGGCCCCATCCCCATGAACAAACCTGTTGTGGGTTTGCAATCTTTAAATCTTTAAGTCATGCTTCTCCCTAAGGGGCTCAGCAGTGGTGTCCAGCCTCCACCAAACTTCCACCACAAGGAGAGTGGAGCAAGACAGTGCAGGCTGCACCACTCTGTCTCTTGCCTGAACTGAGCAACCTGGCCTGATTGCTTATGAAATCAATTGATGTTTGGGGGTCTGTTTCTCTTCCCTATCTTTTTGAGTGCCTATGGCAGACTGAGGAGCTCAGAAATAAGGTGGGACCCAGGTGAGACAAGCAAGGAGCAGCTGATCCTGTACCAAAGAATCCCCCTTCCCTTAGCTGTGAGGCAGATCCCTGAAGATGATTGTTCTTCCCACTCTTACTGACCCTCTAGGGCCTCCTCACTTCCCTGCCTCGTGATTCATGAAGAGCCCTTCCTTCTGCTGTGTGGGGAGTGATTTGCTGAGGGACATCTTATCCTACCCTTTGGGCCCTGGGGATCTTCCCCCCTGGAATAAATACTGGGGGACACAGAGAGTTGGGTTTGGCTGCTGGGATTTAGAAATGAACTTATGAAGGCCTTCTTGCTGCAGGTCATCATTAGCCTCTCCTGATGCTTCAGTATCGGATCTAGCTAATTCCAGTGCCCTGTGCTTGATTTGCTCAATTAATTCGGTCAGTTAATTGGCGGAACCAACCCTGGTAATGCCAGCACAACCTTGACCTTGGCAGTTTGGATTTCTGTTGGATCAAGCCTTCCTAAGCCATCATAAGTTGCTGGTTGTAAATTCTTTGCTTTGAAGAAAATGAATTTAGGGCTGTGGACAGAAGTTGGCATGTGATTAGTTTGGTAGGACTTCAAGTCTCTTCAAAAACAGGTGACAGGCCATGGGCAGCAGAGCTCAGCTGGAGCAGACTTCTCTCTGACCCAGGTCAGGGTGCTCCAGCCTTCCTGGCAAGGGCACAGAGGCAGAGCCAGCTATCTGGGCCTGGATACAGTGGGTGAGGCTGTTCCTGGGAAGGGGGTGCTTATCTGTGGGGCTCAGCTGTCCACTGCCTGCCTTGCGGCAGCACAACCTGCACTCATAGGCCTTCAGGCCTAAAGGAAGCCCTAGACCTCCTCACCACAAAGCTGCGGACCCTCTGGGAGAGCGGGCATCCTTGTCTTGGTCCAGCTCTCAGAAGAGGCCTTTTGATATCAGCTGGGTGTGTTGGTGTGGAGGGATGTTGGTCAGACTATGTTCCTGTTAAGACACTGGACATTGAACTTTGCCTAGGTCTTTTTCTTTTTCCTCTGAAATAATCATTTTCTCTTCTTTATTTTGCTGATGGGATGAATTACATGGATGTTATATATCAGCCCTGTGTTTCTGGGGTGATCCTAAATTGGCTCTGAAGTATTTTCCTTGTGAGATGCTATTGGATTTCATTGCCAGCATTTTATTTAGGGATTTAACATATAATTTTCCTCATTTTTAAATTAAACTTTTGATTTTGTGATAAAAATAAATTATACTAATTTATTATGGTAATCATTTCACCTTTTATATGTCAAACGATTCTGTGATATAACTTCAAATTACATAAAACTATATGTCGAGCTCATGAAAACTGGGAATAAAGAGCAATTTATTCTTACGTATTTTCAACACGCACATTTAAACTGCACACTTACACTACATTCATTACAGACATCCAAGCACAACTCACATCACACACAAACACACACATGCCTTTGTTTAGAAAAGAGACCCCAGCTCTTACCTCCCACACAGTAATCGGTCGGTTCCACACTTGTAAGCTCAATGCAGGACTTAGCTGCGAGCTGAAACAGACAGTGGATCAGGTCAGGTAAAGTGAAGAGTGGGCATGATAAGAGCCACCTCATGCTACCCCCCATACCACCCCTCTCTCACTGAGTCAACGATGTTCTTGAGATCATAGAATCCAGTGTCCACACCAACCACGTGCTCCTCGCTGTCCGCAATTGCCAGGAGCTACAAGAGGAGCAGAAGGCTTGGACCACAGCAGGGGTTAGGGGCCAGCAGGACCCCATCCCAGTGCTCAGGCTCAGGCTTCATGCCATGTGAGACTCAGCGCCCCACCCTGGCCTCGACAGCAGCCCATCCTTCTGGAATGGAAAGTTCTACCTGTTCCCCAGGTCTGTGGGCTCATACAACACTGTTACTCATTTCTGCAGTGGTCACATGTTGTCCAGATATTTGGGGTGGGTTAGAGAACCATCCTCTGGGTGACCCCGCAAAAGCTTTCCATAACTGTTTTCCGCAGTTGGCTTCTGTTCTGAATTACCTGATTTTTCATGTATTTGTTTACACCCACAGCGTAAACAGTCCCTCCCAGTTGTCGAATCTTCTGAGCCTAAGACAAAGACTGTGTTAAGTGCAAATCAGTAAACACGTGGAGCAAAGGCTGGTAAAGTTGGGCAGAACTCACTTCTTTCTTGGTAGCCTCAAAGGACGCTGGCCAAAGTGTTCCATCGGTCAGGGAGATAACCATTGAGTGAAATTTCTTTTCTGTGGGAGAAACAGGGAGTGGCCTGGTCAGTAAAGCTGCCCAGAGTGACCTGCCACAGGTGTGAAGGTAATGCACTGTCTCCCAGTTCCCTCCTCCTGGAGAGGCTGCCAGACCCCAGCACTCATGTTTTTGAGTGCCTTGAGGGCTGTTGAGCAGTTGCCTGGAGGGAGGAGACACCTTCGCCAACCCACTTTACAGAGGAGGGACTGAGCCTGGCTGAGGACTTTTCTTACTGGATTCTCACTGCTACCAAAAAGCAGAATCTTTTCTCTGAGAGGCCGAGTCCAGCTATTTCACTGGACAAAGGCAAGCCTTTCCCTTGAGCAATGGGGAAGCAGTCAGACCATGATCAAGACCATCCATAGGCTCAGCAGAGGACAGGACACTAGTGCTGGACTCCGTGGGCCCAGTTAGTCAGAAACCAAGGTCAGAGATGCTTGGGTAGTAGCCCCTGGTTCCCGCTGAAAGCCTTTCCCCACCAGTCCTCCCGGCTGCAGCTTTCCTTCCAGGAGCATCCACCCTGCAGACTCAATCCCAGTGGAGACGGTGCTGGGCTGACACAGCTGCCAGGCCTGGGGACACACAGGCCAGGAGGAGTGTCAGCCAGAGGGAAGATGATGAAGGGGAAGGAGGCAGCCCCGCCATGGGAACGTGGCAGAGCGTGGTCGGCAAGGGGAAAATCAAGCTCTTTTCTTCCATAAGCAGAGTCTTGCCTGCCCGAGGTGCCCTGGCCTTTCTCCCTTTTCCACCAAAAACACTGGTGGGCCAGGTGCCTTATACTTACTAAACACCAGGAATGTACACCCACGAGCCCACAAGTCTCAGAATCATCAGGGGGGCTGCCCTTTCCCCTCTGCGCACAGACGAGGAGCCTGGAGGACATATTGGGCAGGAAACTTGCACAAGAGTCAGCTCGCAAGTGGGGGCCACCAGACTGCTGAGCCCCCCGCCTGACTGTCTTGGATCCGACCTGTCTCGAAGTGAGCAGGAGCTTACCTTCAGGGTTTGCTGTGGAGATCTGCTCACTGACCTGCAGAAACAAGAAGGCTTGTTGAGAGGACTCAGATATTCTGAGCACTTGCTAAAGCAGGATAAATTCTTAGAGCTCTGGCTGTACCGCTTTAAATCCTTCCTGCATGTTTGTGTCTCCGGTAGGCACTGTGTTCCGCAGTTGGTTGAGACCCTCTTCTATTTCTTTTCTAAAAAAATAAAATAAAATAGGGGTATTGCAGTAGGAAGAAGGGTGGTGTGTTCTTAAACAACCCCATCCGTGCTGGCACATTCCGCACTGGGCATACTGACCTGGACGAGGAGGCCACAGTCAGGAAGGCTGCCATGGCCCTTCAGCCCGGAGTCTTTGAAATTGATCTCAGTACTCATCGCTATATCAGGTTCACAGCCCCAGGGGGACTTCATGAAGGGTCTGTCTGACCATCTACAGACAGAGTGGGGAGCAGTTGTGTCTGTGCTAGTGTGAACCCAGAACTCACAATGGGACTGCCAGGACAGCCAGCACCTCAGGGCTCCCCTGTGGGGCACATGACCCTCCACTAGGCAAGGATGAGTTTGGTAAGGGTCACCCTGATAATACCCCTGCCCTGTCCCTTCCTCCCTGCCCCAGACCGCTGAGTGTGACTGGGAACCCACAGCCTCTTCCCCTTCAGGATTGGTTCTGAAGGAAGCAGCAAAGCTGCTTTGAGTGCTGAGCTCCTTGACTTCAAGTGCTCCTGACAGGAAGGACCTAAGGCTCAGGAAGGGGCCATAACTGCTGCCCATGCAGGCGGCCACAGTTTTGTCCTCTACAGCTGCTGCTAAAGTAGATAGCAGGTGGGAGTGGGACACAAGTGGGATGGAGCTCGGACAGGCTGATCCAAACTGGAGATCTGAGCTGGCACAGCAAGGCTGAGGAGAGCGGGTCCTCCTAAAGGCTGGTTTCTCATTGCAGACAGAATTACTGCCATGGGGCAAGGTCTGAGAGCCCCAGGTCCAGCCCTGATTGGGCCAGCCCAGGAGGTGAAGGGCCCAGGAACCATGATAAATGGAGGTCAAACCAAGTCCTGTGCTGCCCAGCCCAGTCTCCCCTTCTCTTGACAGATTTTGGACAATTTTATTGTGTCAACTGTACCCACCCCACCTGCATTCCAGGACCCAGCTCAGACAGGCTTTGCTCTGGCCAAGTAGGTTCTCCCTGGACTTTCCCTGCACCCCACTCCCAGCTCTGCTCATGGAAATGAAGCCAGGTTCCTGGGATGCTCAGCCAGCCCCACTTCTCTTACAATGTCACCACCCCAGACACAGGATTTCAGATGATTTACACTACCCTGTGCTCCACTCCCAAAGTACACACCCTTCCTCAGGGCTGAGGTCCCCTCTTACACTCTCAGAGAGGGTCAGGATCCATCCAAGAGCCTCCCACAGCTCTCACGAAGTGTCTGGGCCCTGAGCACCTGTCCTAGTGGAGGTGCTGGTTTCCTCTCCTCAGGGGCAGCTCTTTACTAGAGGCCACACCCAGTCCCTTCTGCCTCTCTCTGTCACCTGTGAGAATCTCTCCTCAGAAACTCGCTTTCTTCCACCTCAGCCCCCTGAAGTTGCTCTCTCCTAAATGAAAGCCTCACAGACAAATCCTGCTCCTCCGCATGAGGAAAGAGTCTGCTCACTCCTTTCTTCTTCTGGGAGCTAAGTCTCGGCTCTCATACACTGCATCTGCACACACCTGCATGCAGGCCTCTGGTCCTGCTCACTGGAAGCCCTGCTTTTCTCCATGGTCCTGGACATTGGGTGATGACACAAGCCCTGGGGCCGCTCTGGTCCTAAATGGCTACAAACTTTGTGGTGCTCTGCCCACAAGAACTGCAGTCCAGTCTTTCTTGTTGATGAGAACCTTAACCTTCCAGCTATTCAGAAGCTCCAGAACTTCCCACCTTCAGGTCTTTGGGCACAGTTCTGGGACCGCCTATGCCCAGCTGGGATGCCTGTGTCATGCCTCCACAAGCATGCAGCCCGCCTTGTGCTCAGGTCCCAATCATGCCATCCCAGGAACCAAGCTCCCCACACTGAAGCCCCCCCAAATTCCTCCTGGTCCTTCTCCATCCCCCTCTTCCCCACTGTCACAGGTCCCCAACGGGGCCGTGTTCATAAAGGACCCTCATGTCTGCTCCATCAGACTCCAGAATCTTCACATATCCCATTCTCAGAAAAGGGAAGGTCACTGAGATGAGGACTTGGGACAGGGGAAGGACAGGGCTGGAGGGGCGGAGATCGTCTAGAAACACAGGGGCTGCCAGTGAGAGTGCAGCTTTATCAAAGGGGCTGGGAGTAGAGGCTGGCGGTCAGGGTGGATATTGAGGGGAAGCCACGCCAGCCCAGGCTGAAGCCTGTGGGCTCCTGACTGAAACTCAGGACTCCTCTGCAGAGTTTTCCCTGTGGCCTCCGTCTCCCCCCTCCCAGCACCACTATGTCTGCCTTGAGGGGGTGAAGCTGAACTTACTTGTCCGAGGTGAGCTTTAGGACGGTGTGGGCCTGTGTGGAGAAGGTGACGATCGAGACGCGCATGTTCGTGCTGGGGAGGAAGCACGTGTTTGTGAGAGTCTTAAGCACAGGCTTTAGATGACCCCACGAGCAGCCGGGGAGGTGACGCCTGTCTGTGCTCATTTTGCTCTACCCTGGGAGCACTTGCTGAGTTCCAGAAGTTACCATAAATTTAGTGAAGGATCTGAGGCCAGTAAATATGTGGCTCTCCAGGGAGACTGTCAGGGTGGTGTCCTGTACCATCCCCAGATCCCAACCTCTACCCTTCTCTCTCTCTCTCTCTCTCTCTCTCTCTCTCTCTCTCTCTCTCTCTCTCTCTCTCACACACACACACACACGTGCATGGTTCATGCCTCACATACTCGGTGTATGTCCCCATGCCTGCCCTGTTGTAGCCTCTCTTCTACTGTAACGTTTTTGGAAACTCAGGGCCCTTCCCTCCTGGTCTATGTTTCCTTTCTCCTCCCATCTAAGAGAAATTATTGTCCCCTTTGCCACTCATTCACATTCCTCTGTCCCTCTCCCTGCCCATGGCCTCTGGGTCACAGGCCCCCTTTGTTAGAGGATTGCTACCAGGTCCTTGCTAAACTCCCTGTGCTCCTGGCTCTTATTTCCACTCATCTCACCCACAATTATCAGATTTCCTCGGCACAATCATCACACACCCCTGCCCTTTATAACTTCCTTTAACTCTCTGCAATCCAGGCCCCTTGGCCTGGCTCTATGAGCCCTTTTGACATTGACCCCAAGCTGCCCTGTCCCAGTCCAACTGCACCCCTTTGTGAGTTAACCCTCTTCTCCCCTAGTCAGATGACTGACTCCACAGGAAGTCTCCTTGATGATTCTCTTTACGCTGACTTTCCTCATTCTTAACAATCTCTAGGACCTTTGGAGCCGAAGGAACCAGAGTGAACTGCGTTTTTGACTGGTTCAGAACTCCACCTGGGGCTTCATGCTGCTGATCCAAGAGACACCCATGCCCACTGAGTCTAAGCAGACAAGCACTCTGCCTGGCATGGCAAAACCCCCGCCACATGGAGAAGCCATACTTTTTAAACTTTTTGAGGAAATCCTCTATGAATCCATAGGTGAAAATCCAGTTGTTGTCTACACTTCCTGACCTGAAAATGAAAAAGCAATGAATAGTGTATATTTTTGAGTTGGCAGAGTTTCTCTTTGAAACCATCCAACAAGCTACTCCTACGCCACAAAGCTGCCGCACACTATCAGCAACCCCAGTGGGTCTTCCTGGTGCGGACTTCCATCAGTGTAATGGGAGGGACGGCACCTTGAATGAATGAAAAGTGTAGGGAAGAGCTGTATAGGGGAACATAGTCACTGGAAACTTACAATCTCTTCTCTCACAGGAGAAAAGTGGCTATTGTGTGACATCAAGCAGTAAGAAACAAGTCAGTACAAGCCTGTTATTAGAAACAAAGTCATAATACTGGACAAAAAATCTGGAAGATTTGCAGTGCTGTCTCTGAAGAGTGGGCCAGAAGAGGAGAAGGTAGTAAAGAAGTCTCAAGTTTATTGCTGGGAACATTGTAACATTGTTTGATTTTAAATTTGTGTTCATGCTTTTACTTGATAATTGTTAAAACTATAAACAAATACTAGTAGCATGGTGGGATGTTAACAAAAAGGCAGATTTCAAAGCTCCAAATCCTGGTTTCCCCAAAGAAACATTAAACAAACAACCCAGGCTAGAAACGGAAGCAGAATGTACATGATGAAAGCCAATCTGCAAAGGAAGGCAGAACAGAAGGAAAAAAAAAAAGCTAGAATGTAAATATATCACATTTAGGAAATAATAAGTTGTCAGCACCAAGTTCTTACATATCAATAATCGCTCCAAATTTAAAAATATTGAATTCATCAAGCAAAAATAGCAGTGTGAGTAGGTGGACAAAAATAAGGCCCAGTTGTGTATATATTGCCTACAGATACACATTTCACTTAAAGACAATCAGATACAATGTGAAGGGATGAAAGAAAGTAATGCATGCAGAGGAAATAAAAAATATTAGCAAGTCATTATAGACAAGGTGGATGTTAAGTCACAAATGCTCACAAGAGTCAAAGTTATTACATAGTGACAGTGAGGTCATCACATCCCAAAGATACAAAATGTGCCCCCAGCATCTATGCACATAGATATAACAGGTCCGAAGGGAGGAAAAAAAAAAAAGTATTTGTAGAACGCTTCAATACCTGCTTTTTCAACAGTGGATAAGTCATCCTGAGAGCCTCTGGGCTACTGCCTTCAGCCTGGGACCCGCACCCCTCCCAGGAGATGGCAGATACCTTCCCTGCTCTCCCCCAGGCCTGTCTGAGGATGGCACAGCGCAGGGAAAGGGCTTTGGAAATGATCGGGTGCTTCCGTGAGATCCTCGATGTCACACCACGGCTGCTGCTGAAGAGGTGAAGTTGAATCTCAGCCCAACAGCGGAGCTGGAAATGACTAAGCCATGTCTCCAAGCCAATGCCCTGTGCCTCCTTTCCTTCAAGGCCACAGAGACTTGAAACAGAGCCCAGCTTTCTCAGGACCACACCCAGAGATCCAAGCGTTCAGGAAATACATAGACTGTGGATGAAAGTTGCCAAAAACTTAGATAGCAAAGCAGAGGACTTTCTCAGCAGTGACACTCTGAGAAGGCCCAGAGACAACTCTGCAGTCTTTCTGGAGTCCAGTGAAAATGGATTCATTTGGGTGAGAAACAAAGCGTGAATTTATAACCAAAAAACGGAGGACATTATTAGCAAGTGCTGAGAAAGGCGCTCCAGTAATCACCTGCATTCCAGGGGCTATTGGGCCTGCAGGTCACAGATGCAGGCCATTTGGCAGTGGTGGGCATGGGCTTTATTCTTTCCCAAATGAAAAGCCTCAAGGAAGGAAGGCTGGGCATCCTTCTGCCTCAGGAGCAAGGAGGCCACCAAGGTCTGTATTTGCACCTGAGCAGGACTCGACACTTACTCTGCCCTCACACAAACCGGGTTCCCTTGGCCACGTCTGCCTCTATCGTATCCTGAGACAGCGGCCCCCCCAAGTCTCTGGCCAAAGTAGGAGATCCACTCACTTGTCTATTATCAAATAAAGGTCAAGGTTGCTCTGGCAGGATTTCTTTTCATCTGCCAGCCTCTCCTTGGACCCATTTTCCTGGGTGTGCTCCCCGTCCAGGTTGATAATGTTGTGGCGGTTTCTCTGGAGGTTCTGGATGTCTCCCGAGGCCAGGACTCTGTGCTGGTATGCCCCACTGTTTGCCAGCAGAGGAGGCAGTACCAGCAGAAGGAAAAATGCAAGCCCAGGCATCCCGGGCCAACTGCTTCCCATTTTCTGGGCAGCCCTGAGGCTGCAAGGGACACTAATCTCTGCTCTGGGGACAGAGTAGGACTGATTCTGGGTGGAGGCCCCACTGCCTGCCAGGGTGTCTCCCTGACCCATAGAGACATAATGCCCTGTGTTGTGATGGACAGGGAGGTTGGCATGGCAACCCTGTGGTCTGTAGCTTGGCTCACTGATTTGCCTACTGATATTCCCAGAGGGGAGTCATGGCATCTCTGAAGGGGCTTTGAGAGGAACCTCCATTTGTCCCTGAGCCCTCGCTGATGGCCATTATAATCCTCCAGGAAGCTGAGTCTTTGCAAACTGCCAGAGCAGCTGGGGTGGCTCAGACAAGGACATCGCTGTGGGGGAGGGGGTCACGGCTGGGAGACCAGAGTGCTGTAATGGCCAAGTGAGTGAACACTGACATCTTCTAGGAGATGGGAGGATCTAGAAGTTGAAGAAAGTGGTGCAATTTTGTTTGTGAAGGAGGGCTTCCACTTACCCACTGACGTGAATCAACCACCCCAAATTTACTAAGTCAAAGAAGAAGCACTTTATCATGCTCATAGTTTGCATGGACCAGAAATTGAGAGAGAACTGTACTGCTGTGTTTGCTCCATGGAAATCATCGGAACCCCCTGAACTTTTAAAAACTTTTAAATATAGAGCATCCCATCTCTATGTGTGAACCTTCATAATATTTGATTACAGTCCTATGGATATGGGGACCCATTGGAGGGATGTGACTCTACAATCCAGACTCCCCTATCAGTAACAAGGCAGTGTCGCCAGTAGTTAGGTGTTCAATGAAATTTCCTGAAATTTCCCCAAGAGAAATTGGTCTCTTTTGTCAAGTACTTTTTCTGAATGCCTTATCATTTTGCTGCCATTGTTAATGATGTTTTAAAAGTAAGTTTTTAAAGTTTATTAATAGCACAAAGAAATTATTTATTTTTATGTATTTAACCAATTTGCTAAAATCTCTTGATCTAAAACATTTTCTGTAAAATTGTTTGGGGGAAGGTGAGAATTGGGGAGTAAAGGAGGGAGGTGGACAGAATGGACTATGGTGGAGGACTCTGGGTGCCTTGGTGGCGGGTGTGGTGTGATCACATATTTCTGAAGAGGTTCAACCTACACTCCTAAATCATATGCAGTGTGGTAAACCAATGTCACCCCAAAAAAGCAAAAAAAAAGCAAAAAAGAAAAAGAAAATTTTGATAATTAAAGATTCTGTAATTGTGTGATTCTGTCCTTCTCAACACTGACATGCAGACCCTCTCTATCCCTATCTTCAGGGCTGCCCCTGGGCTGGGAGTGTCTGAGCAGCCCAGATCCTAGCACTCCTGGGGAGCACCTTTTCCTCAGGCCTCTCACCCTGGATCCTTTGTCACCCTGGCTCTAGGGCCAGGAGGACAAGGCAGTGGGCTCCTGCCCTCCCTGTGCTGCGCCGCCTTCTGCAGGGCAGCAGGGCAATTGTAGCTCCAATTAGTTGTGGACAGAACTTAACTCAGCAATTGCTTCCTTCCATTTTGTTTGCTCTTGGCAATCTGTTTGTGATTTAGTTTGTTTTTGCTCACCTATCTGCTGCCCACTGAACACACTGGAATTATGCCACCTCTGTGAGAACCAGAGGCTGGTGACTGTGAGCCAGCCAGCGATGTCTCTGAACCTGGCCTGTCCCTGAGGGTGGCCTTCGTTTAGGACCAAGGCTGTGGCGGAGAGAGTATGCACATACTTTGTGGCCTCCTTTGAGCACTAAGGTCAGGATGGTCTCCATTACCCCCTGAGTCAGTTTTTTAATGTTTGTTTAAGTCCTCTCCACCCTGCCCCTGGCACCCAGATGTATGACTCTGTTCTTCTGCTGTGCGGGATTGAGGTGGGAGGGCGTCACAATCCCTCCCTACGGGAGATAACACCTCCATCATTGAAATGCTGTCTTCTTGGCAACAAGAGGCATTCACCAGGGTGAGTCTTCCTTGGCTCCTAGGAAGAGAGCGCTCTGTCTGCTTCCTTGTCTACCATTCCAGGGTGCAGACACATGATGTGTTGCCCCGCACCTGTCAGTTTTGCCCCCTCAGCTAAGGCTTGTTGGGAGGATTCATGGACAACTGAGTAAGCAGCACCCTGTAGTGTTTGGGAGGGGCCCCCATGGGAAACACAAGCGACCTCTACCATAGTTTGCAAAGATGATCCTTCCCCAAAAGGCTGCCCTTTGGAGAAGCCTGGTCTTGGGGCAGTGCAATGTAAAGGTGGACATCGGGGAGAAGCATCAGCAGAGGTGGATTGGCCCGGTGTTGGAAGATGCAGCCTCCCTCACCACACTGCATCGGCACCGAGGACAGCCTCTGAGTGGGGTCTGTTTCCTAGGTCTCCCCGTTATAGATCACAGTGGCCCTGCTGTGCAAATTCTATGGGTCCTGTTTGGGCCTCCACACCGAGGTAAGCCATAGGCAGCCAGCTGATCCTTGGGTCCTGGTGTGCTGGGGCTGACCTCCCTCACATCTCATGCCAGGACAGACTCTCTTCACCCTCCTCAGCCCTGAAGTCCCCTAAAGACAAACCCAGTCAGTCCACAACCTGCCAGGAAACAGGGCAAACCGAAGGAAATGAAAGCCAACAGGATCAGAGTGCGGGAGGGTGACCAGGACTGGAACCCTGAGGTTCCTTTTCCAAATGCTCACTTAACCCAGGGAAGGACCGGCCAATGATCAATCTTTAGGAACTGACAAAAACAAAAATAAAGCCCTGTTCATGTCACTGTGGGTCATGCAGTTGTTGAAACAGGCTCCTGCTATTTGATAATGTGATGGAGGTTCTGGATCAGACTGTTGGGAGCCTGGAGAGGGTGTTGTCGGAGACATGTGTGAGTCCAAGACCCTCCCAGATAGATCAATCCCTGCCCCTCTGTCTCCCTGCTTTCTGAGGATTTTAAAATGAGTGTGCAATTTCATGCATGTGTGGGTCATGTGTGTGTATATCTTTGTGAATGCTCAAGATTTTTGTCCATTTTTAACAGAATTTACTATTGAGTTGTAGAAAATCTTTTCCAGTCGTGTTCAGACTCACTTGACAAAATCTTGTGTGAGTTTTAGGTGTAGGTCTGCTGATTTGATGTACTTAAGTAATGCAAAATGCTTATCACCATGGGGCTAGCTAACCTCCATCCCAACACATAATTACCTATTTTTTTTTTTTTGTGGTGAGACAATTTAAGATTTATTCTTTCAGCGATTTTCCTGTTCATAACAGTAGCATTAACTATAATCACCTAAGCTGACATTTAGCCTTTCAACCACAAAAGGGCACTCTGAGAGCAGGTTTTATACCAGCTGGTGCAGGCTGCTGCAGGGATGTGATGCTATAGACCTGCAGCCTGTACAAATGTGGTATCATCTCTCTGGCTGCAGATGGAGGCTTTGCAGGTCACATGTGGTCACCTGGAGGGGTGAGGAGGCTGGAACAGTGGCAGCCACCAAGATGCAAAAGAATTCACCCCAGATGGTCTATTTCCTTAGGATACAAACCTGGAAATGGGGCCGAGAGAGGTATAAAACAGACGAGGCAGAGGAGGAGGAACTGAAGGTAAAGAAACACCGGGACAGGCATCCCTAGGTCAACAGACCCTGACCAGATTGGTACAGAGAGGCGTGGGATCTTGCCAGAGTCTGGCATCTGTGGTCAGTCAATGTGTCCCGGTTGGGGGGATGATAATCTACATCCCAGGAGAACAGGGAAGAACTTAAGTGACACCTCACTTTCAGTTAGGTTAACTCGTGATTTGTGGTGAGATAGAGGTAGGGGTGGGGAATACATCTGTGAGGAGTGACAGACAGGTGTGTGTGTATGGGGGGCAAGGGGATAGTCATGGTCCACCCAGTGTCAACCTGGTCACCCCAGCAGTGAGGAAGAGGGAGAAACACCAGGGACAGCAGAAACACTGAGTCTGGAGCAGAAGACCTGGACACAAACTGTGGCCTTGGGGAGGAGCTGATTGGACCAGACAGAGTGAGGGAACATGTCCAGTTAGGACTGAGTGTCACGTACCCCAGGGGGTCAGATCTGGGAGACACCGATGGCAGTCCAATTCCAGAGCACACCACAGCAGTGGTGCAAACCCCGATCTCTAATCTGGGGACCCCAGGAGCGTCGAGGGCCAGCGTAGAGTGAGGAATGGACTGGCAGGAGGACAGAGGTAATGCCAGGACATTGGGACACAGAAAGGGCCAAATTCAGCCAATACCATGAGGGAATGTCTATGGGGCCTTGGAAGTCTCTAGAACCTCTGGTTCATTCTAGGACTTACAGTTATTTTAACTATTTGTGGGCTGAGGCTGGGTGCTGTGGAAATCTATCTCCTTACTACAAGAACAGAGATGCAGGCTAGATGATAGGATGTGACAGATGATATAGGCTGTGACTGCAACTTGTGCTGCCTTTCTTCCTTGCTAAGACAATCCTGATTTTGCCCACATGTTTATCCCTCAGCAAGGTGACTCTCCCCTACTCCGGTTAAACCCAAGAGAGGCCAAGCCGAACCTTGGGGCCCTGTCAGCATGAAACTAACACTGGCGGGCATGGGCCTGGTGTGGCTAGTGCCCGTGTGCCCTGCTGGACCCTGGCCAGAGTTGGGAGCTCCTTTAAAGGACCCAAGCAGGGATGGACTCTGCTGGGCTTGGCAGTGCGGTGCCAGAACTTGAAACAGGGCCGGGTGCCAAGGAGGTGCCAGAGAGTTGAGAGAAGCTGCCTTCTGCCTTTACATAGTTTCAGGACTATTTTTGTTCAGGTGGACACAGTAGGTTTCCTTCCTCTGGGGAGTCTTTGAGGCCCAGAGCATCTTCTCAGAGACAGAGATGATGAAGGATCTGCTGAGCGCCACAGGCCTGGGAGGTTTTCTCACCCCAAAGTCTGTGCTGTTGGTAGTTGTCTCATTCACCGAGCAGCTGTTCTGTCTCGGCAGGGCTTGATTCCCACCCCCGGATCAGCCAGTGACAGGGTGGAGGCTCCCCTCAGCAGATGCCATGAAGGGGGAGCAGGTGGGAATGGGAGAACATCACTTTTAAAACCCCTGCACCTCTGAGACTTACAGGACTTAAAGTGTTTGGGCTTTAGATCTGGAGGCACATAGAAGTATCCACACTTCCAAGAGCAGTCACAGGTTGGCAGGGGCCACATTCACTCAGTGTCCCACGGAAATGCCCACCTGGTGCTCAGCTTTGATCACCCCCAAGCTTTTTAAAATCTCATGGATGTCCACAGACAAATTAAATTGGTCCTACACAGTCACTGCTAAGAACCCCAGGACCCTTAGATTCGAATGTTCAGAACTTTATTATTCTGAAGTCCACAACACGACCTCTCAGCTTCCCCATGACAAGGCCCCATTGTCGTCTCTTATGGGCTGAGGCCGGGGGACCCCTGTGGCCCTGAAGCCCTTGCCTGCCATCTCTGGTACCTCTCATCAGGTGTGTGGCACTGCATGTGCACAGGATGGTGATGAATTTCATCTCGTCTGTCCCTTGCATCTTCTCACCTGCTGCGTACAGATCTTGGCATTGGGACACCCACAAGCCAGTGAAGGGGAGCAGGGAGGAAGAAGGACAGAGCCCAAGTCCCAGAGCTGGGGCTGAAGGGTTAGTTCCCATGCACCCTGCAGGTCAACTTGGCCTCTTCCAGGTGTTGTCTCTGATGGGGAGCTGCTGTCCTGGGGTGGTTAAATTCTTTTTTCTATCCTGAGTCAGGAACTGCTTTCGGGACCTCACTCCTCCATCTCTGTTTTGCTCTGCACCCCCTGAGCATTCTGCCAGCAGAGCTTCAGAGAGCTGAATCCACACATTGGAGGCCCTGGGTCCCCAGGTTCGTGGCCCTTTTCTTGCCAAGATGGAGCTTAAGTGAACCCCACTCATTCCTGCTTTTGAGTCTTCCCAACATCCTCATTTTCCTCCACAGACACCAGAAGGTCAAGGCCTGCAGAAAGCTGAGCTGATTCTCAGCCTGGCATTGGAGAAAACCCCTGTGGGCAAAGGGATTGGGTGAAGCTTCCAGGAGTCTGTCCCCGAGTCCAAATGCAGAGGGTGGGGGGCACATGGTTAGCAGGGCTGGAGTGTGAGAGTAGAGCCTCACCTGTGCATCTTGGAGGGCCAGTCCAGGGTCCACAAAGCCGTTCACATTATCCCTGCTGCCCTGGGAATAGAAAAGCAGGCTCTGCATGTAAAATGGTGCTCAGAGCAGTCTGGGAGCTGGGCAGGAAGACAGGCAGGGCTCTGCTAGCTGCAAGCTGGCTATCCTCTACCCACCTCAATCTTCTCATCTGTAAGATGAGAGGAAGGGCTACCTCATAGGGAGCTGGGGGATTCAAGGAGCTTAGGTAAGCATGTACCTGGCATGAAGGACCTACTCAGTGAGGGAGTTCTCCTGAACTTCTGGGGTCCCTTATGTGGCTATGTCAGGAGAGGTGTAGGGGGCTCAGCCATGAGGACCCCTAACCACACTGAGGCATCACCTCTGAACCCAGGCCACTGGGGCTACCTTATCCCCAAGCAGCCCCTTCCCTTTCTCACCTCCCAGAATCTCTGACCAAGAACTGATCTCTTGGGTGGAGCTGTTGGGGTTGCCCAGACAAGGAACTCTGAAGAGCTAGGGCTGATCCCTTGCATGAAGCACACCAGGATCCACTTCAGGTAGCTGCTTGTGCCTGCCTGAATGTCTTCCTCCAGGCTGGACCCGTATTCTGCAGGGGAATAGGATCATGCACCTTGGACCAGCTTTCATCCTCCTAGTACTGCTTCCCTCACGTCATTTTCCCAGGTTTAAACAGAACATCTCCAGAGTCCAGAAAGGGGGCTATAACTTCCATGAGACAGCGTGATGGCGAAGGTGGTACGTGATGGCTGTGCTGTCAAGTGAAGGGTGAAACAGAAAGCTCATCATATGTTTGTTCTGTTAACACTTATGTTTTAAGATGGAATTTTAATTTGGGCCAGTAAATAAAAAAGTTCTCAGCTCCATCTCCTGGAACAATGCACTACTCTGTGACATAAACCAAACCAAACTTTGGCCAGGACCTCACAGTGCATGAAGAGGGTCAGGAGGAGAGTAGGGGGTTGATGCTGGGTTCTCGCTATGCACCTGCCTTTGCTCATGAAGGGAGTCTCTGAAAGGGGTCAAATTGAAAGTGCTGAGCTCTCCCTTCCTCACATAATTCTAGCACCTTCTATGTGGCCTCCATTTTAAGCTGGCTTATTTCTCTGAAGTCCCTTGCGCCTTGGTGTTTAAACAGCTGGGGAGATGAGCTGGCAGGAAGGGAACAGCCCATGAGGGCCAGATCCTCTCCCTCCCTCTCCTGTGTCGGCCAAGGGAGAGGCCGCCTGTCACTTGTCAGAGGGGTTGGGGTGGGGTCGAAAAGGAGCAGAAACTCCAGGTATAAATGTTTTCAAGGCTAAAAGTCATGTGACTTAGTGTATCCCTGCAAATCCATCCACATGACTTACACAAACCATGGCAGAAATTCTTTTTTTTTTTTTTTTAAAGATTTATTTATTTACACAAGCACTGGGTACAGTCAAAAGCGTGGGAGGGTGAGAGAATTCACCAGAGCCAGAGTGGAGAGCAGAAAAGCAGACCGACGAAGTGCACTGTTGAGGGGAGCAGCGGATGGGGGGTGAGGTCTGTGCACCATTTGGGACCCTCGCCCAGCAGCCAGGGATCGAACCGGTGCTGCAGAGGCTATGGGCAGCACAGCGCTCAACCCAGCGCTCAACCGCTGCGCCACCGGGGAGGCCCAGAAATTCTTTGATTCAAACATGGGCAAAGTTATTTACCACTAACCATCCACTCGCTCAATACAGAATAAAAACCCAAACCTGACATATTTCTACCTTTACCTGTCTGAGAGAAATTCAACTGAAACATAAATATAGCTATAGCATTTCAAGGATATTGGGGTGAGGCAGACAGCAGTTTAGATCACTATCAGTGTGCCTCTGGGACAGCTCACTGTGGTTCACTTGGGGTACCCGCCGTCCAGGGCTCATGGTTTCCTCATGGGGTTCCTTGGGTGGTGAGGCTGCAGGTAAGGCAGTGCCCGGATGCCCTGTGCTGGGCAGAGCACCAAGACACTTGGCTAAATCACTGTCAGGATACATGGTGGCAAATAGGGGAGATTCTCTTTCTCTTAGAGAAATGGAGAGAATCCTCAAAAATCCTACTGGGCTTAAGGGCAGTTTGGCATATTTTTTTTTTTAAGATTTATCTTTTTTCTTTATACAAGAGCTGGGGTACAGGCCAGAGTCATGGGAGGGTTCACCAGAGACAGAGCAGGGAACAGAACAGGCAGATGGACCGAATGCATTGCTGAGGGGAGCTGCGGTCCAGCAAGGAGAGGTCTGCCTCGCCATGTGGGATTCGCCCTGGCCAGCTGGGAATCGAACTGGCGCTGCAGAGGCTGCAGACAGCTTCACAGCATGACATTCAACCTGCTGTGCCACTGGAGAGACCCAGTTTGGGGTATTTTAAAGACAAGTTGCACTTTTAGTGGGTGAACTTGAGAGGGTCTTGTCTCTTTCTATGACGTATCCGGAAAGTGGTAATCAGAAAATGAAAAGAAAATGGGAGTGAGGGAGGTGAGACAGTCAGGTACTTCTCTCCATAAAGTCAGGTACTTCTCTCCTGCCTTTGGGAGGGGACAGGACTGTATTGTCTTTCAAAGACATCCTGGCTTTTTGCAAAGAGCAGAATTTAGCTAAAACCCAATGTGTCCCAGCCCTTGGTGACGGATGAAGACCAGGCTGTGGGGGGACTCATCCGTGTGCACAGCCAAGGACAGAAGGGTGCTCTGTCCTGGCAGGAACAGCGTGGCCACTTCCCGCACAGTGGACAGGGTTCACCAGGGATCCACTTCTCCTGCGGATCAACTCCTGTCACTGTAAACCAAGACTCAACTCGCGTGTCTAGTGCAGTACACAAAGACCTTACTCTACGCTTTGGAGACGTAACACTAGGCTGCGGGGCCGGGGGTGACAGAGGGCCCGCACCGCATGTTCCCACAGCGGCAGGGATCATTGGGAACATCCCGGAGGGCCGATGGAACAGGCGAATTGTGGGGGCTGGGAGCATGAGAGTTGGGGAGGTGGGCACGGGGCATATGGGCAACGAGACCAGCTGCAGTTGAAGGGAAAGCACGCCGGGCCGGGCATCTTCCCCCGTGGGGACCTGAATAAGGAGCAGGTCTGTGGGAAGAGAAGAGAGAGGTCAGTGAGAAGCCACTGCAATTGGGAACAGAAACTTATGGTTTCCTTGGCCCTGGGGCTGGACCCTCAGGCTGGACCTCTGAGGATGCCCTTCCTCTGCCTGGGTGTCCTCCTGCCTGGGCTCCTGTCTGAGAGTGTTCAGGAGTCGGGGTGAGCCCAGCCTTCCCAGCCCCAGGCTCGGACGTTGAACGCCTTTTGCTCGGATGTTGACTGTATCTGTTTCCCCTGCCTGGGAGCCTGGAGAACAAGGACATGTTCTGACTAAATGAAGGCCCCAGAGTTCCCCAGGCTTCCAGGTGTGTGCTGAGGGGTGTGTCTCCATCAGCCAAGAGGGGCTCCACATGGGGGGCAGCAGCTGACCCATGGCCCTGGTGCTGGGTGGGGATGGAGGCACGAAGCCTCCCCAACTGACTCTGGGCTTTTTATTTAAATTTTGAAGTGCTGGGTAATGTTCTAGATTTGTCTCCTGCCATCCTTTAGTTGAAAATGAAGGAAAACTCATGGTCCCTGTCTAGAATCAGCTGGGAGGCTCCTGGGCACCACGTTCCTGTCTTAGACTTTCTTTGTGACAGATGCCTGCACCCACAGTCCCAGAGGGCAGCCGTCAAGTGCAAAAAGCAAACGGCCTTGTCCTTGCGGCACATCCCCGTGCCCTGCTTAACTTGCGTCTGGGCTGACACCACATCCTTGGGCACTGGTTGCGCTTTTGAAAAAAGTTGCCCATGATCTGCATGCCCAATGTATCCAGTTTGTCCTGCAAAGCAGAGGAGCCTGTAAGGAAGCTCTGAGCTGGCTGCTGCTCCAGCCCCTCAGCTAAGTGTCCCCTTCGGTTCCCAAAGTCACCGGAGCTTTGTCTCCACAAACTCCCTGGGATAGGATTATGGCCTCTACTTGTGGCAAGAGGCATGTTTTGGGGGGTGAGGGTGTGAGTCAGGGATTGTTTAGGGATCAGAACAAATTAGTGCTTTCTGAGGACAAGGCAGGAGCTACTAGCAGAGTTAAAGTACAAGGCTGGAGGAGATATGTGGTGTCTTGGAGGGGAACATGAGTTGCCCGCGGGGTACCTGGGAAGGAGCTAGAAGGAAGGGAGGAGGAGGCCTGCACTCATGAGGCCAACCAGGGAAGGCAGAGAAGAAGCTCCATGCCCTGTCAGTGTGCAGGGTCCTGCTGACGGAGGGTGGAGAGAAGAGGCGGCTCAGGACAGTTGCCCATGATCTGCATGCCCAATGTATCCAGTTTGTCCTGCAAAGCAGAGGAGCCTGTAAGGAAGCTCCTCTGAGACCGAGAGTGACCTGGATCCCGGGTGGGGGACCCTAGGGGAGCTCTGGACCCTGCGCTCCAGCTCTGTCCTGGTGCTTTCAGAGGGGGAGCCATGTCCTGTGAACAGGAAGGAGCCCTTGGTCAGGGCTTCCTCCTCTCTGGAAGGTGTGTTGGGCACCGCTGTGTTGCACAGAGAGGAAGGCAGTGCTGGCTGTCCTGGTGCCATAGAAGCTCCTGGAGGAAGCCATGACCCAACCAGGATGGAGCAGGACCAGGAGGAGGGGTAAAGCCAGGCAGAAATTGTGGGCTCTTTCTTCCTCCACACCAGCCATCTGGACTCTATTCTGTGCTGGGCCCCAGTGTGGGATGTGTCTCAGCAGGGCAGGCCCAGCTCTTCCTGGGGAAGAACATTCCCTTCAGGACCCTCCTCCATGGGACCCTGGTCACCCCGGCTGAGGGCAGGAGGACAAGGCAGCAGCTCCTTCCCTCCCTCTATTGAGCCAGCTTCTGGGGGTGGCAGGTGCACCAGCATTTCCACTTAATGGGAACTTGACTCAGAAATTCCTTCTTTTATTTTCTGACCTTCATGAACCTTGTGATTTTGTTGTAACTCACACCTACTGCCCAGGGAGCCCAAGACATTGTTCATGCTGATGAGAATCACTGTGTAGTCACCGATTCCATAAACGTGGGTCCAGGGAGTGGAGATCCTGGTACTGGAGTAAAGTGAGCAAATCTCATTCCCCTATACACTCATCTTGATCCAAGCCGCACTTTCTGGGCCTAACCTCTTTGTTACTCTCCGTCTGAGCCCCAACCTGGGCCACAGCACCCTTCCCAAGGGTGGGGAGGGTGTTTTAGGTTGCTGTCTGCACCACTAGGGACCACCACCATGGGGCATGTTGGTACACATGGTTGCTAGGAAGAGAAAGCTCTTGTGTGGCACTTCTGGGGTGCAGACACACAACGTGTCGCCCCAGCACCTGTCAACTTCCGGCCCCTCAGCTAAGCCTTTTGGGAGGATTCAAAGATAACTGAGTAAGAGCACCCTGTACAGTAAGGGAGGCCCTCTGTGGGAAGCACAAGCAACCTCTACATAATTTGCAAGGATGATCCTTCCCAAAAGATTAGCAAATTCTCTCCCACCCCCGTGTTCCTTAGGGCTGCCTTTTGAAGAAGCCTGGTCTTGGGGCAGTGCAATATAAAGGTGGACATCAGGGAGGAGCATCAGCAGAGGCGGATTTGCCTGGTGTTGGCAGATGCAGCCTTCCTGACCACACTGCAGCAGCACCAAGGGCAGCCTCTGAGTGGGGCCTGCTTCCTAGGTCTCCCCATTACAGGTCACAGTGGCCCTGTTGTGCAAATTTATGGGTTCTAATTAGGGTCCCACCCTGGGTGAGCCACAGCCAGCTCAGCTGACCCTTAGCCCTGGTTTACCTGTGCTGGCCTCCCTCACAGCCAATGCCAGGTAAAGCTCCCTCCACTCTCCTCAGCCCTGAAGCCCCCAAAAGACAAACCCAGTCAATCTACAACCTGCCAGGAGACAGGGCAAACCCAAGGAAATGAAACCCAACAGGATCAGAGTGCGGGAGGGTGACCAGGACTGGAACCCTGAGGTTCCTTTTCCAAATGCTCACTTAAGCCAGGGAAGGAGCAGCCAATGAACAATCTTTGGGAACTGACAAAAACAAAAATAAGGCCTGTTCACGTCAACGTCACTGTGGGTCATGGCTCTTGCTGAAACAGGCCACTGCTGTTTGGTAATGTGACGGAGGTTCTGACAGTTGGCAGCATGGAGAGGGTATTGTCTGATGACATTTTGTGAGTCCTAGGTCCTCCCAGGTGTCCTCCTCTGCCCCTCTGTCACCCTCTTTTCTGCCAGCTCTCTTTGTCCAGGTCGGTGGAGATGGCGGCGTGGGGAGTAGAAATATCCCACAGCTCTGGACGCCTCTTTGTGAAGTTCTGTGTGGGCCAAAGAAACAAAAACACAACTTGGGCCTCCCCGGTGGTGTAGCGGGTTGAGCGCCGTGCTGTGAAGCTCTCCGCAGCCTCTGCAGTGTGGGTTTGATCCCGGCCGGCAGGTGAGAATTCCACATGGCGCAGCAGACCTCTCCTGTCGTGCCCGCTGCTCCCCTCAGCAGCATATTTCTTTGATCCGCCTGTTCTGCTCCCTGCTTTGTCTCTGGTGTATCCTCTCACACTCCCACCTTCTGGTCTGTATCCCAGCTCTTGTATAAAAATAAATAAATCTTAAAAAACAAAAAACAAACACAACTCACCACCAGCTCCTTGTTCTAGAAAGTGAAAGAGACATACACAGGATGAAAGGGCTGTGCAGGGCTCTGGCTGGTCCACACAGGCAGGAGGGGACTCTGCTCGGCAGGAGTGAGTGAGAACATGGTTTGGGTGTCACTGTGGGTGCCCACCCCAGTGGGTCAGCGGCCAGCAGGCTGCATGTCCCTGAGACATGACTCCTCATTTATCTGAGGGGATGTGGTACCTTCCAGGCTCCTCTCGCTCCTGGCTGCTGCTGTGCCTTCCCCTCTGCTTCTCCCTCTCTCTCCATCCAGCAGTGTCCTTGTCACCATGCTCTGCCCCCCCCCCAACCCCCCCACCCCCGCTTCTGGGCCGGGCTGTTCTCTGTATTGCTCTGCTTTATCAGGACACATGGTCCCCAGAATATGGCATTGTGTGGTCCACTTCATGCCCACCCAGGCACCAACACCTGCCTAGATCCCAGTAGCTGCTGTGGACAGGCTGGCAGCTGCTTCTTTGCTGTCCCTGTGTGCCCAGTATGGGTAGCACCCCTGGCGCTCAGAAAGAAGATGGAGGGAGGTGGAAGCAGCACTGGGGATGTGCAGACACCACGCAGGTCTCTAAAGCTCAGCTGCACAGAGGTTGGGTATCCTGCTATTCTGTGGCCCCCTGCACGGCCCCTGCTTGTTCCCTCAAGAGCAGCTTCCTCCTCCCAGCCTCTTGTCTACCTGAGTGCTCAGAGCCTGGGGGCCATGAGGCAGCCCTGCCCAGGATTTTGGGCCTTTCTTCCCAGGGACCAGGGACCTTTCTTCCCAGGGACCTTCCTGCTTATATACTCTCTGCACTGGGCCCCGTTGGCCTGACAACATGGGTGGGGCTACGCCAACCAACTGCCAAAACAGTTACACAAGAACTTTCAGTTGGTCCCACCAGCTAGACTCACTGGGCACATGGCTTGACCGGAGTCTGTTAAACTACCGCAATGAAAGCCCAGGTATCCTCTCTGAATCCGGGTGGCATTACCTGCCACGCAGAACTTCAGTGCCATTTCCAGTCCTCATGGAAATGCTGGGCCTGAGGGGGTCTCAGCTTGGCAGATGAATAAACATGAATTAATTCTGATGCAGGAGAAAAATCAAATGCCAAATTCCACTTAGGGCAAGTTTTCCAAAGAGTGATCTTCTAGGATGCTTGTTTCAAAGGCCAACTCCCAGCACCCCCATCTTCCTGTAGGGATGAATCTGGACAATGAGTGTTTAAGCAAGCCTCCCAGGTGACTGTACATTTGGAGGATCACAGATTTAAGGGATGAGGTTGCTGGAATAAGTAGAAAACTATAATATTTGCAAAATTTTTAAAATCAACTTTGAGCTAATTTACGTATACTAAAATATGCCTGTTGAAAATATATAGTTTGAAGACTTTTTGGTACATGTCGGTGCTTTATAACCATTATCATAATCCATGTAAAGGACATTATCCTCATGAACATTTGCAGTCAATCCTATCACCCACCTCAGCCCAGCCCCACTGACCTGCTTCTGCTATAATGAATTTGCTTTAGGTTTTCTAGAGCTCCATATAAGTAGAATTATACATTACATCCTTTTTTGTCTGGCTTCTTTTGCTCAGTGTAATATTTTTGAGATTCACTCTGTCATTGGATTAATCAGTAGTCAGTTCCTTGTTATTGCTGAGCGATAATGCATTAATTGGATCTATAAGACTTTATTTTTCCATTTACTTGTGTTGGTTTGGATTGTTCCAGATTTGGGCTATTTTGAGTAAAGTTGTTATAAATATTCCACAATCCATTCAGAATTAATTTTTGTGTATGGTATGAGGTGAGCACTGAATGGTTTTCTTTTTAAACTTCTTCCCCCCCAAAATGGGACTCTAGTTGTTCAAAGCACCGTTGGAAAAGTCCCCTTCCCCCCTTTAATTTATCTTGACACCTTTGCAAATCAGTCGGTCATATCATACATGTAATGGGGTCCATTCCATCAATCTTCATAGCTACCCTTAGCCAGTTCCCCACTCTGCTGATTCCTATAGCTTTATAGTAAAACTTCAAAGTAGGTTGTCTAAGTCCTCCAAATTCATCAGCTGTTTGCGTTTCCATGTATAATTTTTGTGTCAGTTTATAAATTTCTCCAAAAAGCTTGTGGGGATTTTGATAGGAATTTCATTGAATTTATAGATCTAATTGGGGTAATTGACATAATTTTGTTGAGACTCAATTATGTTGAGTTTTTTAGTCCATAAACATGGTTTATGTATTCAAGCCTTTTTATATTTCAAGGATGTTTTGTAGGTTTTCAGTATACAGATTTTAATTTATTCTAAATATTTTGGTTTTTCTTTTTGACTGCTGGTATGTCCATGTTCCAATTGTATGCCAGTGGTATATATTTCATAAGGAAATACAGTTCACTTTTGGGTATTGACCCATATGCTGCAACTCTGTCAAATTCTTGTTCTAGTAGCTTGGTGAGATAATCTTAAGGATTATCTACCCAAATGATTGTGTCACTGGTGAAGAAAACAATTGTACAGCTTCCTTTCCTATCTTTGTTTTTCTCTCTTCTTGTCTTATTTTAATGAATAGTCAGTAAAATACTGAGTTCCATTGATGAGGACGGTCTCCTGATTTTTGGGGAGAATGCATTTACTCCTTTGTTCTATGTGATGGTGATTGTGGAGTTTTTGTAACATTTCACATACCCACACTACAATGATCTGAACCAGGAGATTAACATGAGATTAACATAGATTCAATATTATTATTTTTTTCAAAGTTACAATCATTTTATACAAAAATTCTAAAAATCAAAAGTTCACAGCTTTGAGAAACATTTCACCTAGGAGTGATTTCTAAGGCAGTATCCTGAGATTCCATAAAAACAGAACCTTCCATCTCAAGAGAAGGAACAGGAATAAGAGGAGCAGAATTCTCCAATTCCAAGTGTGATGGATTCTCTCATTCAGAACTTAGGTTTAAATTTTCTTTCATTTGAATCTCTTGCTCTTCCAATTCTAAGGTTTATCTGATGCTGAAGGAACAGCTTCTTCATCTTCATTTTCATGCAGAAAGCTACAAATCATATTGGGTCTATAGGAGAAATCATTGTCCTTTATTTGCAGCCATTCCACACCACCTATATTTTCTTCTCCTTCCTTCTTCTATGTAAGTAGAGTTCTTGTCATGCTGAGCTTCTTCATCGTATGACATTTATATTTTAGCACTGTTTTATTATTGCCTTCTGCATCCACTAATGTATGACCTCGAGAGTGTTACTACTGTTCACCTCTTTGTGCTTCAGTTTCTTCAAATATAAAAAAAATAATGGTATCTCTCATGTTCAACATTTTCTTCAAATGTAACACAGGTCCCAAGAGTGTCTTCATATTCCCCATCAAAGACATAGCTGTCCACTTGCAGAATAGGCCTCTCAGTGTCAATACCCAAAATCTTGCATTTATTTTCACATTTTGAAAGAAAATCTGAATCAATAATTCCTGACAATTTCACCAGAACCAACTGCTCTGCCTCCTCTTCATCCCCTTCCTCGTCCTCCCGACTGCTCCGCGGCCACCGCCATGATTCTAGATTCAATATTATTAATGAATCTACACACCTCAAGTTTCACAGGTTGCCCCTTTAATGCTGTTTTTCTAGTTCAGGATCCCATTTTGCATTTCATAGTCAAGTTTCCTAAGTCTCCTCCAACTTAAGACAGCACATGACTTTGATGCTTTTGTAAAATGTTGTTTTGCAGTGTTCCCCAACTTAGCCTGTTTGATATTTTCTCATGATCGGGTTGAGTTATGCAATTTTAGCAAGAACACACAGAAGTCATGTTGTGCCCTCTTGGGGCATTTTATCAAGTAGAACAAAAAGTCAATATGTGTTATTGTTGTTAAATATTAGTCATTTATGTTGTTAAATTTTAGTCATTGCTTAAGAGGTAGGTTTATGGATAAACTATAGGATGCTCAGTTAAGTGTGAATTTTAGATAAATAACACTTTAGACAAAGTATGTCCCAAATATTGCATGGGGCATGCTTATCCTAAAACTTATTTGTTGCTTATCTGCAATTAAAATTTAATTGGGTATCATGTATTTTTATTTGCTAAATATAGATGCACTAATCATGGTTGCCCTTGAGGATACAGCTGATTTTCTGTGGCATCACCTTGCCCTTGCTGAAGATTGGTGTTGGGACGAGGTTTGTGTCTATGATAGATTCTCTCTGCCCAGGATTGAAAACTACTTTCAACAACCTTCTCAAATAAGTTCCCAAAGAAACTTTTCACAACTCTCTGTAAAGTCTTGTTGGTCCCATAGCTCAGCTTAAATTCTGTTGTGGGAAGATTTACCTGGTTTAGGAGAGAGCTACTAATGACCTGTTTGACATAGAAAAAGATGCATGGAGCCCTTGTGCATGCTGGTGGGCACAACAGTGTACTCGAGTAGACATCTGTTCAGAGCTCCAGGTAGCATGCATACACAAGGGTCACCGACACCCTGCACCCGGGGGAAAAAGAAACAGTAGGGGTAGTGTGTGTGTGTGTGTGTGTGTGTGTGTGTGTATGAGAGGGAGAGAGAGAGAGAGAGTGAGTGAGTGAGCGAGAGAGAGTGAGAGAGATGGGGAGAGAGAGAGAGAGAGTGAGAGTGAAGAAAATGCTGCTTCTCCCTTTAGCAGTCAAAGAATGAACCAATTTGCACAAGTTGCATGGGAGCAGAGATGGGGTGTCTCCTGTATGTAAAGGCACTAAGACCATATGCTTAGTCTTTCCCCCAAATTTACTGGTCGGGGGACCTGGTGAAGTGGATTTGCATGACCTTTCCTATTGCATCCTAGTAGGAAAGAACCCCAATGGATCCAAAAAGAAACCATTAGGAAGGAAAGACCAGTCGGAGTGATTGTTCTAGAACAAAATACGGGCAGAAGTCCTATTGGGTTCAGTGCTCCCCACGACCAGAGCGATTTGAAGAGCAATATCTAAGCACATGGGTAAGAACTACAGAAGTGGCGAAGCCTCAGAACCCTAGAGTGGGACTTCACTGTAACCTGGACAGGAACCCTGACCAGTAAGAGCATCCTGCCAACATGCCACTTGAAACAACTTTGCAGGAGTGGCTTTCAATAGTGACATCTTGTGGCAGCAACTACCAATGGCAACAGAGGACTGAACTTGTTCTTTGTCCGCCTGGTGCCAGGAAGCAGGACTGAAGGAGTAGGATTCTTGGGAAAAGAATTCTTGCTCTGCATTGGCAGAGCAGCAGGGAGATGCTGGACTCCCTTTACATAAGGGTAGGTGGGTGCTTAGGCAATACTGAGGGGTTCACATACTGCTCTGCCACATTCTGTTCCACATTGCCAATTTATTGCGTCTCTTCTTGATCTTCATCCGCAATATGATAATATCTATCTACTAATACTGTTGTGAGGGTCAAACAAGTTATGTTACAATAGGGCCTGGCACATAATAAGAATTGAGTAAATAGTGGAGGATAGATTAAAAAATGAGACAATATTGGCACTTTAGTTTGCTGATCACCTGAGCTCACAGGTAGATATTGTGATTCTTGCTTGCTAATTATGTGACCAGGGTCTCAGAGAATGTACATGCTTTGCTTCGGAGTAGATGGATGTGATTTCAAGGGGCTTTTGATCTGACTTGCATTTCCCAGAAGCTTAAAGTTAACCTAACTAAATGCCCTGGTCTCCATGATGCTTCAACCCATCAGTCAGATCCAGAGTTTTTAAGACAGATGAACCTGAAGCCCCCGAGACTCCCCAGGAGTAAAAAAGCCTTTAGATCACCTCTGATTTTACCTTCGAATCCATTTCCTCTTCCATCTTTAGTGAGTCTGCCTTGGTTTAACCATTTCTTGCCTGGATGCTGAAGTCCCCCTCTTACCAGTTTCCCTTCTCCTTTCTTCCCTTCAGTCTACCCTCCATGTACCCCAAAGGGTGATTTTTCTAAAACATTCCTCCACTTCAGAACTTCCGGGGTCTCCCCGCTCCTTTGAGCGACTGCTACTCCTTTGTGTAGACTGCTCAGCTGTGTGCAGTTGGACCCGAGCCTCAGGGCTCTTCTCCTGCTCTCCTAGAAGCGAGGTTCTCGGTTCTTTCTGTTCCCAAAGCATCGAGAGGCTTCCACGGCACCTCTCAGCATGTTGAAGTGCAACTGTGAGATAAGGGAGCTGGGGCTCCCTTAGGGTTCAGAGGTGGTCCTGCCTTCAGTTCAGGCTAAAGCAACTCCTCATTGCCAAGGGGCATATGAAACAAATGGGAAGAAAAATCGCCATTACACTATATTGAGGTGTCATTTCTTTATCTATTAAGAAACCTGAAACACTGCTATTTGGCTATACTTAAGAATTAACATGAGCAAAAAATTCTCTTTTAATGAGAAAAAAAAATTGTCAAAGTTTATTGACGTTATCGTGTGGTGATATCAATGATGATCGCCTCAAGCCAGGACTGAGGTCCCAAAGGGCAGGTCAGAGCTGCAGCTTGTCATGCCGGCATCAGCAACACAGCGATTCCTCGGGCTGTTTTTTTTTCTTCTTTCTAGGTGAAAAGAGTTTAATCAAGAAACAATATTTTCATACTTTTATAAGTCAGATTTTTATATAATGGTGTTTTGAATTCAGTAGCTATTTTGCAATAGGTAAAATAATTTGAAATGTTCTTACCATTCAAGTCTTTAGAAGTAAAAATTTTGAATCACATGTATGTGTCAAACCTAGAAGGATGCTACATCAGAGCTCTCCTGAGCCTCAGACCCACACATGCCACGGCTGCACAATGAACTGTGACAAAACTCGTGTGTGTGTGTGTGTGTGTGTGTGTGTGTGTGTGTATGAGACTGTCTATAAAACTAACCCAGTGAATACAATTCTTAGAGGCCGCAGACCACTCAGGTCAGTACAGACTCGGACAGCCAGGCAGAGCAAGGGAAGGCTAGTTCACAGCTGCTCTTCTGCCCTAGCCTGTGGTGAGGGGTGGGGGTGGGGACGATGGGGCAGGTGACTCAGTGCTGTTCAAACCAGACGGGATGGCTTTCCCGTCCAGGATTGTCTCTCCCAGCCACATGAGATACGTGTTTGTTTCAAGTCCACTTAGGCCTTATATTTTGAAATGATGATTTTATAGGGTTTTTTATTTTTAATTAATTTATTTTTTTATTTTTATTTTTTAAAGATTTATTTATTTATTTATACAGGCACTGGGTACAGTCAGAAGCGCGGGAGGGTGAGAGAATTCACCAGAGCCAGAACGGGGAGCAGAACAGGCAGAAGGACCGAAGTACACTGCTGAGGGGAGCAGCAGGCGGCAGGAGAGGTCTGCGCCATGTGGGATCCTCCTCCGGTGGCCGGGGAGGAGCCGGGGTTCGAACCTGCGCTGCAGGGGCTGCGGGCAGGTTCGCAACCCAGCACTCAATCGCTGCGCCACCAGGGGAGGCCCTATTTTTAATTTATTTTTAATGGTATTTTCTTTTTACATCATTGATCATTTTTAAACAATATTTGCTTCCCCCACCCCTTCAGGTTTAGTCCCATAGAATTTCCTTCCCCAATGCACCCGTGCACCATCACCTCAGTCCCTGTGCTCCTCCCTCCCCTCTCACCCCTCTCCCTCCTCAGCCCCTGCAGGATGTCTCTAATTTATAGTTGTCTGCTTTCGCTTTGTTGTGTTTTGTACTGTTGTTGTTTTGTTTTTTTTTTTTGCACTGATGTCTTATTTGGTTCCCCTCTATTCCTGTGATAAGTGATGATTTTCCAGTTTTACTGAGAAATAATTGACATACACGGCTGTAGATGTTTAAGGCGTATTTTGGTTTGATTTGCAGATATTGTGATCCTCATCCTCGCATGGATGGTGGTTCTACTGCAGAGGGTTTGGTGTTTCTAAGCCGAATACCTGGATTCAGCCCTCACTGAGCTGCACTAGCCGCTTGACTGCACGACATCTTCAGCCTCTCTGGGACCAAGTTTACTGATACGTGAAACGGGGATCATAACAGCACCTCTCATAGTGCCGCTGTGAGGAGTTTCTATCTCATCAGGTGCATCAAGTGTGGCAAGCAGTAAGCACGACACACGCGTCAGCCTGTCCTCTGGGCAAGCGCGGTAGGGGCAGCCACCAGGAAGGAAGAAGTGCCTGCCTTCCCCACAGACGGTCCACACCTGCCCGCCCTGGCTCCACACCTCTTTTACCCCCAGCAGGTGCAGCTCTGGTTTTGAAAAGGTACAGTCCCCTTTCCTTTCCCTGCAGAACTGAGAAATAAGCCATCTTTCCTCTCAGAGTAATTGAATCTGGACCGTCTAACCCATAGTTCACCTTAATGCATTTGCCCCCATGGCCTGTGTCCCTGAGAATTCTCTCGCTCTCTCACTCCCTCAGCACTGCAAGTTTAGAAACAAACGCTTTCTGAGCTTTTGAATTGTGTCTGCCCGCTCTCTCTGTGGCCTGGACTCACTGGAGAATGTGCTTTCTTCGGCGCTTCCATTACAGGCACAGGTTTCTCTCTGATAGATTGCTTGAATCCATCCATTGCTCTATGATCGATGGAGTGCATTTTCCGGACTTTCCCAGGAGTGTCTCCTGAGTGGATTCATTCATGAGCAAAATGTGTTCGCTTTTCTCTTTTTATCCCTGGCCTCAACCACCTCTGTTTCTGCTGATGTGGAGGAGGGAGCACTGTGTTATGGCAGGAGGGGACTGGGGCCCAGATGCCCGTTGTCACCTATAAGCTGTGTGAACAGAGCACTCCTTTCACTTTCATGGGGTCTAGGGTTTTCTGTTAAATGAGATGGTTGCTAAGGGGTTCGGTAAGCATCCCTCTGGCTCAGGATTCTCTGAGGCTTTAGCTCTTCTCACTCCATACTCAGAGCAGATCCTTTATCAAGCCCTTGAAGGGGAGCCCCATATGCTGCCTCTGGGGGAAGCTCAAGAAAGTCAAGTTGCACCCCGGGGATAGGATGACAGCCTGCTTAGTCTGTGTGGGTCCTGCCTCCCAAATGTGGAGGATCCAAGTGTTCCTATGGGACTCCTTGGGGATCCAGTTTGGGATCTGGAATTTTACCTGGTTGCCAGTTAACCAGCACTTGAGGAGACTAGTGGCCACTCCGAAGAGGCTGAGACCAGTCTCTTCTTTTGTATCTCTGTGATGTACAGTATAGGACGGGGTGCACTGTATATATTCACTAAGTGATTTTGGAAAATTCTAATAACAGGTCAGTGGTAGGACGTGGCTGTTGAGAAACTGTCCTCTTAGGCTGCAACAGAAGCATGCTAACTAGAATGAGGGAGGCGACAGTTTCTCTGCTGCCTGCTCTAAAACCTCGTCTGTAAAAAGTAAAAGTTTCCTTTTAATTGTCCACTAAACCTCCTTGAGAACTGGGCCACCGTTTCCCCCTCTTGCTACTGTATTGTCAGTGAAAGCATTGGGCCTGTCAGGTACTAGGCTTAAAATAACATGTCGCCTGCCTGACAGAGGGAGATCTTGTTCTTCAAGGAGGGTCATTATCACGCCTGCCTCCTGAAGGGCAGCAGAGTATTGGGGATATTAACTCACTGACCCTGGGAAGCCTGAGAGTCTTCCCCAAATATTGGAATAGCGCACATCCGTGTTACCTCCTGCCTTGCTAATGTCCCTCCCCCGCCAAGCCCCCTCCAGTCACAGGATCCTGATTTTGTTTCAAAAATTCCATTGAGTATCGGCCGGTGGGGCTATTTCTCAAGGTGCATGAGGCTCCCCCTTCAGGGATGGCAGACCCCCCAAGCTGGGTTCCCTGGAGTGCTGGCTCTCAGGAATGGTCTCTGGGCCGGCAACATCATCCTTACCCTGGAACGTGTTGGAATGGAAAATTCCCAAGTTGACCTCAGAATCAGAAACTTCCAGCATAGGTCCCAGCAATCTGCTTTAGCATGGCCTCCAGGGCATGCTGATGCTACAGGGATCTCAGGTCATCTGGGAGTTGGATTTTGATTCCACCAAAACATTAAAAACAGTTGGCACACAATTGTCTGCAGAGGGGAGGACATGTGGGGCTCTCAAGAGACTAACCAAGATCCCTAGACACTGTCCTGTCAGGGATGAAGTCTTTAGTGTCTCCAATTCTTTCATTCTCAAATTTCATTAATTTATTAAAAAAAGTCATTTACATAATTGTGTAATTTGGGAGGTACAACTTTGCCCCTCCACATGTGCACACGCTGCACTCACCCTCCACCAAAACTCCAGTGCCAGTGTCCTACCACTTTCCCTCCCCACCCTCGCCTCCCTCCACTCCCCATTCCTTTGGCAGCCAGTGTAATTTTTAGAGTCTAAGAATTATTTTTGCTATGCTCTGCCAGTTTATTTTCTTTGTATTTATATTCTGCAAAAGCCTGTAGCTATCCAGTAACAGTCTCTCACTTTCTGACTTATTTCACTTAGTGTAGTCACCCAGATCCATGCACTTAGTCACAGAAGATACTATTTCATCTTTTTTAATAGCTGAGTACTATCCCATTGAGGACATATTCTACAAGTGTACAGTCATGTGTCATTGGGAATGTGGACAGTGCTGCTATGAACATAGGACTGCATTAATCTTTTCATATTCGTTGGGTAAATATGTAACAGTGGTGTTGCTAAATCATGGAATTCCTGTTTTTATTCTTTGAAGGAATGTCCATAGTGTTTTCCATAGTGGCTGTACCAAATCACATTTCCACCAACAGTGGATGAGAGTTCCTTCTCCACATCCTTGCCAACACTTGTTTCCAGTCTTTTTGATATGGAGCTTTCTCACATAGTCTTGGTGATATCTCATTGAGGTTTTGATTCACATTTCCCATGTAGTAGGTGATGCTGAACTCTTTCTCATGTGCCGGTAGCCATCTGAATGTCTTCTTTCGAGAAGTGTCTATTTTGGTGTTCTGACCATTTTTTAATTGGGTTTTTGGTGTTGAGTTATATGAGTTATTTATATGTTTTAGAAATTACCCCTTTGGCAGACTTGTGATATGCAAATATATTCTCTCAGTTCATAGATTACGTTTTGATTATGTGGGGAGTTCTCTTGAGGTACAAAAACTTTTTTCTCTCGATGTAGTCTCATTTGTTTTTGCTTTTGTACCCCTTGTCATTGGTGTTGATCCCGAAATACATCTCTGTGGTTGATGTCCGGGAATTATCACCTGTTTTGTTTTAAATAATTTATGGTTCCAGGTTTTAAATCCAAGTCTTTAATCCATTTTGAATTAATTGTTATGTATGAACTTAAGTAAGGATCTAATTTCTTGATTCTGCATGTGGTTTCCAAGTTTCTCAGCACTATTTGTGGAAGGTGCTTTTCGTTCTCCATTGTATGATCACATCTGCAGCTTTTCTTCAATTCCATGAACTTCCCCATCTTCTCCAAATAAATTCCCTTAAAATAATTTTTTTTTTGCTTCCATTAGCTAGAGCCAATTTCTGTTTCTTAGAATCAAAGAGCCCAGTTGACACTGGCTGAGAAAGATGTGGTCAGATGACCCATTAAGTCCCTTCCAGCCTGGCTGATTTTGAATGAATGAGTCAATAAATAACTGGTTGATGAAATGAAATCAGGTGTCCTCTAATTTGAGCCTCTGAGAGAAAGTAAAATTATTTCAGAGGGGAAAAGGAGGTGAGGAAGACAATTTGATCCTGATTCCTGCCTGGACCAGGATTCGGAGTAGCAGGAAGCTGCCCCAGCAGGAGCTTCTTTGTGGACTCTGTGGGCTGACAAAGGTGACCTTGGGGAAGTCAAGTGACCGCTAAGTCATATTTTTCTCTCTCGCTAAAGGAGAGGGTTGTGCTGTGTTTTGTGTGTTCCTCTTTGCAGCTAAACTAAATTGCCAGCGTGACTATGGTAGCTTTGGGGTGGCCTGCCTGGAGTGCTGCCTGCTGGGTTGTAAGCAGTTTGACGAAGAAGTCCTCATCATACTAATTTGGTCCAGATGCTTAGTGCAGACCCAGCTGAGTCATCAACAACCCTGGTTTCCTGAGGCCTGGGGGGAGGGTGTCAGCTCCAGGCTAGTACCATCTGCCTTCCCAGAAGCACCCTGCTGGATGACACAGTGAGGGAGGGGGGGGGGAGGCAGGAGGCATTGGCATTGAGGAAGAGCATGTAGGGGTTCTGAAGGAAGGGGGATTTCCCAGCTGGTATGAATATTTATTGGAAGTGGATCTTTTCTAAGGAGAAATTGGTATAAATGAGTGTGCCCATGTGGAATTCAGAAGTACTGTGAAACCCAAATGCATTCTGGACAGGACATGTACAAAATCAGCAGTTTTTGACATTTTTGTGGCTGTTTGGGGACCATCTACAGGCAGGAAGACTGAGTTCAGGAACTGAACAGTGTTTGGCTTTGCCCTGTGGAGCTCTGTGCCCTCTGCAGCTCTCTCTGCCTCTCACACCTCCTCTGTGGGATTCTTCCTCGTCCTCTTGCCCTCTGGGTTTCTGCTTCTCATTTCTGCATGTCACCTTCTCTGCAAGAACCCATTTTTTTTTAGATTTATTTTTTAATTTATATAAGAGCTGGGGTACAGGCCAGAGGCATGGGTGGGTGAGAGGATTCACCAGAGTCAGAGCGGGGAGCATAACAGGCAGACTGACGAAATACACTGCTGAAGGGAGCAGCGGGCACAACAGGAGAGGTCTGCCGCGCCCTGTGGGTATATCCCTGGCAGGCTGGGAATTGAACCTGTGCTGCGGAGGCTGCTGACATCTTCACAGCGCTGCACTCAATCTGCTGTGCCACTGGGGAGGCCCTGCAAGAACCCATTTTGATTACAAGTGACTGATTTCCAATTCATAACAACTTGGGGACACAGAGGGCCTTTGATGGTATGTAGAATCAAAGCCTAGAGTTGAACCAGCAAATCTTCTAAAGGGATTTCAGGAACAGCTGGCACCAGGGCTTGAATCTGCTGGCAGTCTCATCTTTACTTCCCTGTCTCTTCCCTGACCAGCTGCTGCCACATGGTGGGAAATCAGGCTGCCAACAGGGCCCTCAGTTCACTGTTTGCAGTTTCCACTACTGGAGAGGAACTGGATTTTAGTCTCTGTAAAATATGAAAATATTTTACTACTTATTTATCAATTTGAATTAAAGAGAAAATTCAAGTGGCTAAAAGCCACAGCTCAATATCAAGACAATGGTGGCTTTGCTGACGACTGCCTGGGTGACATCCCAAAAGCGACTTCACCTCTCTGAACACAGTTTTTCATGTG